GGTAGGATTACAGGTATGAGCCACCGACACCCAACAAGAAGGAATATTTTAAAACTAATGTTAATGTTTTTTTTCTTTTAATTTTTATTTGTTTGTTTGTCCATGAAGTAGCAAGGAACTGAACCCAGGGCCTCATGCATACTAGACAAGCACTCTATCTACCACTGAGCCACATTCCCAGCCTGAAAGGGGTCATTTTCATTTATTCGATTACATTGGAGTTGTATAGTTTCAAAGTACATTTTGTGGACTAGAAATACATCATCTTTGCAGAGACTTCTTTCCTTCTTTCTTTCTACCTAATCATATAATCTGGATGCAAATGGATGAATTGTATCCCTTTAAAGATTTCCACTTTTGAGCATAAAATTACCTTAGCAGTAATTACCTTTTCATGAGGATACCCTGTCCCAAGCGTTATTCCCACCTCAGTCTTTTGGATTCTACCACTTTTCCTTTCCTCCCTTGATCTCTGTCTATATGCTGGTCTATATTGGCCTTTTCTCTTCTTCTGTCTATAGGTATCCCTACATCATCACCCTTAGAACAGTCCTTTTAAGAGTTGGCACCTACAAGAGGAAATTTAGACCAAGAATTTCACTTTACAGATCAAACCTACAAGACGTAAGAGAAGCTGTGACTCCTGTGAGTTCTGTAATTCTTTCATAGGGTAGGTGGTCATCAGTTGTGGGGGTTTTCCTTCCCATGTGCTTCTAAAAGAAATGCAACTGAAAATTGTGCTTAATAGTGTCATGGTTCAAAATGAATCCATGAATATTCTTTCAAATACTTGTCAGTAACTGTTAAGAAATTACTTTTATATATTTGAGTTGTTACCTTTACCACATTCAAAATTACAAGCTAAATCCATTGGAACACAATTTAAGGGGTGTGAAGGGCAGTGAATTTCATTTAGCCTTTGCTAAGATGAAGGCTTGTTTACATAATATGTTTAGAATAGTCTTATTCTTAAATTATATCCTATATGAAGGCGTTTTTGAGTCATTAACTGCACTCGTTTATTTTAGTGTTAATGTGAGGTGTTTTGATACATGATAGCTTGTGACAAGGATGACGTTGTTAATATAAAGATGATACTTGTGTCAGATTTTATTCCTTAAATTGCATTCTAGCATGTGTTATGTCTTAAAAGGAAGGTCTTAGAACCTGAGAAAAAAGAGGCAGAACTATAGGAGAATTTAAATTTTCTCTTTTCCTTCCAAAGGTTCAATGATTTCAGTGTGTGAAATGAACTGATAGTATATAGATTGAGAAGAAAAACTAAATGGGAGCCTCCCATAAAGTATGGGACTCTAGGAAAGGCTAGGTGATTGATGTTTCTATACTATCTTGCTTTACACACAAAGGAATATGGATTTGGGGCCAGAGAGAACATGAGACATGGGAGGTTCTGCACAGTCCCCAAATGCTATCTATCTTGACACCTGGAAAACTTTTATCTATGTGCTAACTTTTAGAAGACCACCATTGTAATCTCTAGTTGGTCCAAGTATTGAATCCCAATCTCTTCCTGTGAAAACATGTCTTTTTGGCAAAAAGAGAATCTTAAAGCTTCTGCCTGCATCCAGTGCTTTCTTTCCTAGTAGATAATCTAGCTATGTTGCCCAGGTTACCTTTGAACTCCTGGGCTCAAGTGATCCTCCTGCCTTAGCCTCCCAAATAGCTGGAATACAAGGATACGTCACTGCACTCAGCTCTCTCTCTCTCTTTTTTTTTTTTTTTTGGCCAGTTCTGGGGCTTGAACTCTGGGCCTGGAGGCTGTCCCTGAGCTCTTCAGCTCAAGACAAGTGCTCTACTAATTGAAGCACAGTGCCACTTCCAGTTTTTTCGTGGTTAATTGGAGATAAGAGTCTCATAGACTTTCTGCCCAGTCTGGCTTTGAACTGCGATCCTCAAATCTCAACCTCCTGAGTAGCTAGGATTACAGATGTGAGTCACAGGTGCCCAGTTCATTAAAAGAAATTATTGCATAAAATTTGTTTTGAAACAAAGATAACCTTTCAGAGCCATTCATTCTTTAAGACCAGGTTTCCTTTAACTTTTCCTTTAAGACCATAAATTCATGTCAAGGTTGAAGAGGAAAGTAGTAGTAAGTGAGTTCCTGGAGTCCCAGTTTAATTTTAGCTTCACAACTCATTAAATGGGATTTTGCTTTTTTTTTTTTCGGGGGGGGGGGTGTCCTGTCGTGGGCCTGAACTCTGGGCCTGGGCGCTGTCCCTCAGCTCTTCAGCTCAAGGCTAGCACTTTACCACTTGAGCCACAGCGCCACTTCCGGCTTTTTTTCTCTGCTTATATGGTGCTGAGGAATCGAACCCAGGCCTCATGCATGCAAGGCAAGCGCTCTACCACTGAGCCACCTTCCCAGCCCCTATTTTTGTATTTTTAAATCTTTTATTTTGGGCTGGGAAGGTAGCTCAGTGGTAGAATGCTTGCCTTGCATACATGAAGCCCAGGGTTCAATTCCTCAGCACCACATAAGCCAAAAAAGCTGGAAGTGGAACTGTGGCTCAAATGGTAGAGCACTAGCCTTGAGCCGAAGAGCTCAGGGACAGTGCCCAGACCCAGAGGTGAGGCCCCATGACTAACCCCCCCCCCAAAAAAAAAAAACCCTTTTGTTTTGAGATAACTAGGTATTCTAAGATTGCAAAAAATGGCGGAGAAGCCTCATTAATGTTTTTCTCAGCAATCACATCTTAACTGTGTAAAATACCAAAATCAGGAAATTTGCATTGTTGCATGTCTCTGTAGTTCTATATTTTACACACACACACACACCCTTAGAGCACACACACACACACACACACACACATTGTTGCATGTCTCTGTAGTTCTATATTTTACACACACACACACCCTTAGAACACACACACACACACACACACACACACACACACACACACACACACACACACACACACACACACACACACACACACACACACACACACACACACACACCCTTAGAGCTCTTGCTTTATGTTGTAACCATCCCACTTTCCCTCACACCTTGTCATCCTTAACCTCTGACAACTAATCCAGCCTTCATTTTTCTTACTTTGTTGTTATATCAGGATAGTAATGCAACTTATTTCAAATGGGGAAAGATTTCTGAAGCAGCATTACAACTTTCTTGGTTTTTTGTTTGTGTTGGCCAGTCGTGGGGCTTGACAACTAAGCCTGGGCGCTGTCCTTGAGCTCTTCAGCTCAAAGCTAGCAACACTACTTCAGCCTTTTCTGCTTTTGTGGTGTTGAGGAATTGAACCCAGGGCCTCATGCATGCAAGCAAGCACTCTACCACTGAGCCCCTTCCCAGCCCCTGAGATTTTTTTTTTTTACTCAGGTTTTAAAATTATAAATGTCTTTAGAATAGAGTCCTAAAATGGTACTTTAAACCATTTGTTCCCAAATAATATGACTGTACATGTCTTTTCTTTTCCAAGAAAACAAGAGTTTTCTTGAAGTGAGAAAGCATTTTTCATTAAATAAATTATGCTGAAATGTTCTAGAGTTGGATGGATTTTCCAAAAACAGCATCAGTTATTAGAGGAATCAGAAAAGCATTATAAAGGGGTTAGGGAAGTAACTCCATAGAAGAGTGCTTTCTTAACCTAGATGAACCCTGCATTTGGTCTGGCATTATTTAAAAAAAGGAGAAAAGGATTCTTTAAAGAAAAATGTTAAAAAGGAAGTCATAGACAGATACAGTGATATACACCTGTGATCCTAGGAGGTTGAGGCAGCAGGATTGTGAGTTAAGACCACCTTTGGTTACATGTGATACCTTGTCTCTAAAATGGTCATTATTTGCAATGCTTTTGTCTAGGTTTCTTATTTATCATGACACATGATAAAGATAAGGATCGAATGAGTTATAATGTATGTAAAAACAAATTAATGTATAATAATTTCTGTATTAGGTCTAACTTGTTGCTGTTATTGTTATCTAATCTCAGGACGGGAAAGATTTAAAATCTATAATCGTCCATTTTATCACTTAGGGCAGGATAGTAAGATTGGTTTCTTTAAACAAATAACAAGCAGCCCCAAATATGCCCATGTGGAAGACTGGATATGGTTCTATATGTTTTATTTGAGTGGTGGACTTAGTGATATTTCACAGCCCTCTACTTACTGTACACTCTCTGTTTAGCAGCAAACAATTCTTATAGTTGGGGTAGTTAAGGCAGAGGTAGTTAAGAAACAGAAAAAAATGCCTAATTATCAAAGCCTTGAAAAAGTTAATTTGCTTTGATTTAGTGATTTCATTCTTAGGACTTGTATTTTTAGGAAATGGTTAGAAATATCAGAAAAAGTGTAACAATATTCATTATTTATAGCATAACATTGCTTATAGCAGGAAAATGCAATGAATCTGTGTAAATAACTACAATTGGGATTGAATTCTATGTCAAGTGGGTACTTTGAATGGTTTGATAAATTTAATTGATACACTTGTTAATAAGTTTGATATACTGATGTACTTCCATTATAGCATTAATATGAACTTGATCATAATACTTTGTTTCTTATTTACCATGATAAATTATAAATGATAATGATAATGATTAGACCAAATGAATTGCTTCATACTAAGAACTTAGATTGACATGTAGTAATTATCTCTAGCTGTTCTTTCAGGGTTAAATCTGTTCTGGGAAGAATTTACCAATATTGACTATGAAATAGAAATTTTCCTATGTTCTGCTAATCATATTCATTGTAAAATAAAGCTTCCATTGTGATTTTACAGAATGCGTATATTGTTAGATAATTTTGTATGTACCTTTTGAATAAAGTCATTGAAAAAAAGAACACAGGGAAAATGTTGGAAGGGGTTGACACTGATCAAGATGCATTGCCCTCATAAATTGACATGTTGAAACTTCTTTGTACAACTACTTAAGCATAATAAAAATAAAAAATTAGAATGGAAATATACTGAGATGTTTTTATATTTAATTTTTACCTTATTTTTCTAGGAGCTTTCAAGTTGTGGGTGGAATAAAAAAGAAAAATACAGTTCTGCACCAAATGCAGTTGCCTTCACCAGAAGATTTAATCATGTGAGTTGTGTAAAATTTTGATCTTCAAGTTTCTGAAATTCATTTCCTCAGTGTATACTTATTTTCATCAAGGAACAGTATTGATTGCAAATATTTTCAGCTGATACCTCTGCAAATACTGTCTGTTTTCATGATCTGTTTTTTCTCCTATAATTGCTATTACAACCAATTAATTGCTATTCCAATGGTTGAAAGTTAACATTCTTTCTTGTCTCTTAATCTTTTATAAGAATTGGATATGCAGGTATTCATCTTGTATGTTGGCTTATCACTCTGCTGGATATGTGTCAAGAGGGTAGAGCAAGGTCCTAAAGTGGTTCTCATTTTACTTTTTCTTTGTTCTTTGGTTTATTTTTGTTTTTTTCTTTTCTGTGAGGAGTTTGAAATCAGGGCCTCACAAATAGACAGAATTTTTTTATATTTATGTTTTTATTATCTTCTCAATATTTTCTTTCTCTAATGAATATCTTGTACCCATCCAGTGGGTTGTCTCTTGATTCTGGTAACTGCTTCCTTTGATATGTAGAAGCTTTTCGATTGAATGAAATCTCATTTGTGAATTTGTTGTTTTTCTTTCCTGAGAAATGTAAGACCTCTTCAGAAAATATGGCCTATGCTTATATCTTCAAGGTTTTTTGGCTTTGATTTTGTCACTTGTGGGGCTTGAACTTAGAGCCTTGGTTGTCCTTGAGCTTTTTCACTCAAGGCTAGCACTCTACCACTTAAAGCCACAGTGCAGCTTCCATCTTTCTGGTGATTAATTGGAGATAAGAGTCTCTGCACAGGCTAACTTCAAACCGCAGTCCTCAGATCTCAGCCTCCTGAGTAGCTAAGATTAAAGGCATGAGTCACCAGTACCCAGCTTCTTCAGGTTTTTTTGTTCTACCTTTTTCTGTTGTATTTTCAAAGTGTTGTAATGTACGTTAAGGTCTTTGAGGCTTTTGGCCAGTGCTGTTTTTGTTAGTTTTTTTGCCTGTATCATGCTGTCACTATTGTGTTATAGTATAATTTGAAGTTTAGCATTAGTATATCTGCAGCATTACTGTTTTTTCTGTAATGCTTTTGCTCCTCAAGGTCTTTTATGTTTCCATATGATAATTTTTTTTTTTTTTTGGGTCAGTCGTGGGGTTAGAACTCTGGGCCTGGGAACTGTCCCTCATCTCTTCAGCCTCTTCAGCTCAAGGCAAGTATTCTATCACCTGAGCCACAGTGCAACTTCTGGTTTCCTGCCTGAGCTGGCTTTGATCCATTATCCTCAGATCTCAGCCTCCTGAGTAGCTAGGGTTACAGAAGTGAGCCACCAACACCCGGCTCCAAGGCGGGGGGGGGTCTTTCTGTTTTCTAGTGTCTTCAGTTTCTTTTTTTTTTCAATGTTTAGAATTTAAGGTGTTTATTTGTTTGTTTCTTTTTTTGGTCGGTCGTGGGGCCTGAACTCGGCCTGGGCACTGTCCCTCAGCTCTTCAGCTCAAGGCTAGTACTGTACCACTTGAGCCACAGCACCACTTCTGGCTTTTTCTGCTTATGTGGTGCTGAGGAATCGAACCCAGGGCTTCATGCATGCAAGGCAAGCACTCTCACTGAGCCACCTTCTAAGCCCCCTATAATTTTAAGTTTTGGTTAAATTTATTGTGTGTGTGTGTGTGTGTGTGTGTGTGTGTGTGTGTGTGTGTGTGTGTGTGTGTGTGTGTGTGTGTGTGTGTGTGTGTGTGTGTGTGTGTGTGTGTGTGTGTGTGTGTGTGTGTGTCCGTCCTGATTTCAGCTTATTCATTTCCGGTATATATAAAAGCTACTAATTTCTGTATGGAGTCTTTAGACTTTTAAGTATGGGATCATATCATCTGTACAAGTGATCATTTAACTTCTTCCTTTCTTAGTAGGGTTTCTTTTTTTTTCTTTTGACTTACTGTTTTGAATTCTAGTACTATACTGAACAACTGTTTCATTCCTGAATTTAGAAGAAATTGTTTCAGTTTTTGCTTATTTAATGTGATGGTGATAGGTTGTCATATCATTTTTATTGTAAAGAGATATATTCCTTCTATCCCTGGGTTTTTCAATAAACTTGAATCCTGAAAGGATGTTAAATTTGTCAAAGGCTTTTTCTTGCATCTATTGAGATGTTCATGTGAATTTTATCTTTGATTCCAATGGTGATTGTATTACATTTGTTGATTTTAAAATGTTGAGCTACCCTCAAATACTTGGAGTAAAAACGGCTTAATCAAGGTGTGTGGTCTTTTTAATGTGTTGTTGAATTTGGTTTGTAAGTATTTCATTCAGAATTTTTCTGTGTTCATCAAGGAAATTGGAATTGGTCTATCATTTTTGTTGTCTCCTTGTTGGCTTCATAAGATGAGTTCAGAAGTGTTCTTTTCTGTTTTGTGATATTGTTTGGGTAATAGTACTGGTCTTAGTTGTTCTTTAAAGTCCCAGTAGAATTTGGCAGTAAATCTATCAGGCTTTGTGGGGGCTGAACTATGGGCCTGGGCACTGTCCCTCAGCAATTTAGCTCTAGGCTAGAGCCCTACCACTTGAGCCACAGCACCTCTGCCAGCTTTTTTCTGCTTATGCAGTGCTGAAGAATCGAACACAGGGCCTCATGCTACTGAGCCAACTTCCCAGCCCCTCCCTCCCTCCCTTCTTCCTTCCTTCCTTCCTTTTTTTCTTTTCCCTCCCTCCCTCCCTCCCTCCCTCCCTTCCTTCCTTCCTTTCTCTCTCTCTCTCTCTTCTTTCTCTCTTTCTCTCTTTTTCTCTTTCATTCTTTTTTTATATTGGTTATGGAGCTTGAACTGGGGCCTGGACACTGTCCCTGAACTCTTTTGCTCAAAGCCAGCACTCAACCACAGTACTACTTCATTTTCTAGTGGTTAATTAGACATGAGTCTCACAGACTTTCTTGCCTGAGCTCGCTTTGAACCAGGATCCTCAGACCTCAGCTTTCTGAGTAGCTAGGATTATAGGCATGAGCCTCTTGACACTCAGCTCAGAATTTTTCCCCTCCCTCCCTCCCTCCCTCCCTTCCTTCCTTCCTTCCTTCTCTCCTTTCCTCCTTTATTTTTTTTTTTTTGTTGCTGTTCATGGGGCTTGAACTGAGGCTGAGCTTTTTTGCTCAAGGCTAGTGCTCAATCACACTTTGAGCCATAGCCACACTTCTGGTTTCCTGGCTTTTAACTGAGGATAAGTGTCTCTTGGACTTTCCTGCTCAGGCTGGCTTTGAACCACGATCCTCAGATCTCAGCCTCCTGAGTAACTAGGATTACCAGCCTCCTGAGTAACTAGGATTACCAGAGTGAGCCACCTGTGCATAGACTTTTTTTTAATCTTTATTATCTTCAAGTAGTTGAATAAAGGAAGTACGGTTTTACAAAGCAGTTTAGGAATACAATGCATCTTGAATCAGTATCATCACCCCTTCAACGTCCTCATCCCGCTTAGACCCACCCTTTCCCTTACTCTTCTTGATTTTGTGGTATATATAAAATTCTTGGCTACATCCCCACTCCTTTCACTCTTTATTCTTCTAACCTCTCTCCCCTTGGTCTTATACCCTTCCTCTCCCCCACCCCCTTCTTGCATGTATCCATTCTCTAGTGCTGATTTTGGTGGGCTTTGACCTTTCTTATTGCTTCAATCTCAGTGTTTATTCTTTCTTTCTTTCCTCCCTCCCTCCCCCCTCCCTCCCCCCTCTCTTTCTTTCTTTCTTTCTTTCTTTCTTTCTTTCTTTCTCTCTTTTCTTGCCCTTCCTTCCTTCCTTCCTTCCTTCCTTCCTTCCTTCCTTCCTTCCTTCCTTCCTTCCTTCCTTCCTTCCTCCCTCCCTCCCTCCCTCCCTCCCTCCCTCCCTCCCTCCCTCCCCCTCTGTCTCTCTCTCTCTCTCTTTCTTTCTTTCTTTCGTCGGGCTTAAACTCTGAGCCTGGGTCCTGTCCCTCAGATCAAGGCTCTACTACTAGAGCCATGGTGCCACTTCCGGCTTTTTCTGCTTATGTGGTGCTGAGGAAACGAATCCAGGACCTCATGCATGCAAGACAAGCACTTTACCACTGAACTACCTTCCCAGCCCTGTTTATGTGATTTATATCCTAAGTTTGAGTTAGCCTTCCCCTCCCCCCAAAGGACTTGAGGCGCATCATAGGTGATTTTTAAATTTTTCTTCTAATTTTGGTTGGATGCCTGTATTGATGATAGGGATATACCTGCTGTTGCTTTCTTTCTATTTCAATTTGCTTGGAAAACCTTTTTCCAGATAATGATTGATTTTTCTGTTTTTGAAGGAAATAAAGGAGTTGGTTTTATTTCTAATTGATTGAACCTAAATATACTAGAAAAATTTTGAACTGTAGGATTGATTTGAGAATGTATGACATGAATATATACTTTTAGTTATACCTTTCAGCCACAGAAAACTACTGGTATCGTGAACAACATCTGATTATAGATCTTATTACCTAATTGTGTCCATTTAAAAGAAAAATGGTTAATCCACTGGGTTTTTTTTTCTTTCTTTTTTCTTTTTAGATCTGAGACTGGGACGTGAACTCAGTATCTACCAACTGAGTCATGCCTCCAATCCCTCCCTTGTTTGTTTTTTTATTGTGCTCATTATGCACCAGTCTGGTTAATTTTTTTCCTTTACAAAGCTCTTTCTCTGAAAATTTTCTGTTAACTTTTGCATATTAGTCAAGTTGTATCTAAAGAATATTTTTCTGAGCCAGGTGCCAGTGACTGTGATCCTTAGCTACTCAGGAGGCTGTGATCTGAGGACTGCTATTCGAAGCCAGCCCGAATGAGACTCTTAGGATAAGTTAACTGCCAAAAAAGCCAGAGGGAGCTGTGACTTAAATGGTAGAGCACTAGCCTTGAGCAAAAAAGGTTAGAGATGGGCTAGGGAATGTGGCTCGTGGTAGATTGCTTGCCTAGCATGCATGAAGCACTAATTTTTATTCCTTCCAAATAAATAGGAAGAGCCAGAAGTGGCACCGTGACTCATGTGTGGTAGAACACTAGCCTTGAGCAAAAAGAAGCTTAGGCTTCTTCTGCCCAAGTTCTGAATTCAAGCCCCAAGACTGACTAAAAAGAAGTTCAAGGACAACACCTAGGTCCTGAATTGAAGCCCTAGGAAAGATACCAAAAAAAGGAGAGGGGGAGAGGATTTTTCTTTTCTTTTTTTTCCCTTCATTTTTCTTGTGTGTACAGAGAATACAGTATTTGAAGATTGGTGATGTCTTGGTGATAAGGGAACATGAAAACTTTTTAACAATATAGGAAGTTCATCAAATAGTTTTATTAGTTTGATACTACTAAGTACATAAGCTTGTCCTTCAACTATTTTAATTTTTTTTTCAGGTAAGCTTTTGGGTTGTGAGAGAGATTCTTCATGCTCAAACATTAAAAATTAGAGCAGAAGTTTTGAGCCATTATATTAAAACTGCTAAGGTAAGTAAAACACTTTATAGTTCAACTCAAAATATTTTCAGTGACTATTTGCTTGTGATATTTTATTACTCCTAATTTTGATACTGGAAAATAAAGCTTATTTACTGAGTAAGCCTCAAACTTTCTATCTCCCTGTTTAAGCCTCTTGAATGCTAGGGTTAAAGACATGTGCTACCATACGCAGCTTCAGTTTTTGTTTTCTTTTTAATTGAAAGCCTATTTTCTCTTGCTTTTCCTGTATTTCTCTTAATTTCCTCTTTTATCTCCTTCCTCCTTTCTGAGTCACTAAATTATAGTATATGACACTTCTAGATAATAGACTATTCTGAAAACCATATATAGGATTAAGTAATAAAATACACAACAGGTCTTTGTTTGCTTGCTTCTTAAATAGATCACCCCATATACTGAAAAATATACTCTATTTCTAAAAGAATTGTATATGTGATGTTTACAACTAAATAGAGAAGTTACTGTGTGACCTAGATAAAAGTATAGAGTTTGGATTTCAAGGATAATCAGCATTTAGAGAAAATTGTGAAACAGTACAGTCTACAAAAAGACAACTAAGATAAATCTGTAACGACTCCAAATTTGCAAGTTCACTAAAAAGTAATCATAGCCACATTCATCTGTTAGGATTCTTTTTTTTTTTTCATTTTTTTGGGGGGTCCAGTCGTGGGGCCTGAACTCTGGGCTTGGGCGCTGTCCCTCAACTCTTCATCTCAAGGCTAGTGCTCTACCACTTGAGCCACAGCGCCACTTCCTGTTACTTTCTTTTTGCTTATGTGGTGCTGAGGAATCGAACCCAGGGCCTCATGCATGCAAGGCAAGCACTCTACCACTGAGCCACCTTCCCAGTCCTCCGTTAGGATTCTTGTAACATATAACTTCATTTGTGAATGAAAAATAGTAAAGTGAACATACCAGGCTTACAATAGTTTTATGTTGCATTTTCTTTCATCATATAAAACCAGGTACATTCTAACATTTTGTAGCACTAGATGGCAGAATTAGCTTATACAAATAGATACTTTGCAGAAGTATCATAAAAAGTGTTTTTTTATTGTGAAAATACTGTACAGAGGGGTTACAATTACATGGGCAAGATAATGAGTACATTTCTTACCAAGCATTATAGCCTCCTCCTTTGTTTCCCCTTCCCATCCTCCCCCCCCACCCCGCCCCGCCACCCAATCCTCCCCGCTACCCCCGAACCACCCCCCCCCCCCCCCCACCAAAGTTGTCATAAAAAGCTTTGAAACATTCTCTGTGACACTTTAGATACTGGGTTTTTAGCTAATTGAAATCAATTACATTTCTCATCAACTCTGAATTTCTATTACTGTTTTCTAATATTTTTGGTAGTTAAAAAATACTTCTGAGTTTTAGCCCTATCTTTCTCATCATATCACTTCATTCCTATTCAGACTTCTAGTATATAATGGCAAAGTTCAAAATTATTTTTTCCTGCCTGTTAATTATCTCTATTCTGTATTTGCTTTGTTATAAAGCTAGCTATTATATGCCTTCCTTTAAAATATTATTCCACAGACAGAATCACTAGCATTGTGTATCAACACCTGTAAAGAGATAAGAGCAATAGGACCAAATTATCATTAGTGATAGTTGCTGAAAATGAAAACTCTTGGAGGAGTTGAGGCAGTAGTATCAAAGCAGAATTTTGTTTCTTTATAGTTCTTTTCATTTTTGGCATATATAGAGTATAAAATGTACTTAGTCCATTATAAATGTTTAACATTTATTTGTTGAGTGAATTTTCCCAACTAGACTATATAACTTTCCTATGTAAAGATTTATATACTGTTTTGTACCTATTATTGTGTGTTTATTTGCTTTCTTTGGGTTTTCAATTAAGTGTGCCACTCTTAGCATTTTTTTTTTTTGCCTCAAGCTTTTCTAGTAACATAGTTGGAATATTTATAAAATAACTGATTTTTTTAGGACAGTACCTTTGTGATATAAATATCATTTAGTATGACAAATCTGGAAATTAGCAATAATAAATGTTGAGTGGATTTCTTGGAAAACTAATGGAGTATAGTCTTAGATAAGCGTTTCCTGGATCAGAGTATAAAAATAATATCTCAGAATGAATGAGAAACATTTAGTCAGGAAGAAGCATGACAGGAAGAAGCATGAGTTCTGTGAAGAGGTTTTGAACTCCATACTTAGAAAAATAGGAGTCTTAGGCAGGAGACCAGATGAGTATTCTAAAGAAACCCTTTCTTTAAACTGTAACATAAGCTTAGAAATATGACAGTATAAAAAAAGTTTGGTTAGAGGTAAATGAGAGCATACTTAAAAAAAAGAACAACAACAAAAATTCCAGTTAGAGATAAATTTATTTCCCTGAGCTGGGGAACATCAAAGTAGATATGGAAGTTTTATTGGGGGAGCCCACTTTAAACATAGTAGGTACTCTAAATGACAGATCTGAACAATGAAGGTAATAAATATATATGGAATATTACCAATTTCCTAAATTGCATGTTATCTATAGTTTTCTTATACCCATTAAAATTTTTTTTCCTTCTCCCCTTTTCTTAAATCTTTAGAAGTTGTATGAGCTTAATAACCTTCACGCACTCATGGCAGTGGTTTCTGGCTTACAGAGTGCCCCGATTTTCAGGTTGACTAAAACATGGGCGGTGAGTAATCTTCCTTAGTTAATCAAAGTTAGGCTTCTGGTAAGAAGTAAAGCAATATTAGTTCTTTCGCACTTACTAAGACTAATGTTATTACAATAGATGAGAATTTAAAAATTATTTTGTACTTAGTTCTCTCCTTAAACATTCTATCCGTTTTGCCATGTAATTTATGAGTAGAATCGTTTATTGCTTGTTTAGTTTTGGGTTGTTTTTTTTTTTGTAACCTCTAAGCATTTTTTACAATCAGTTTTCATCTCATGAAGTATGAATGTTAAAAAGTTACATTTACTCAAGATTGTACATTTAGTAAGATTGCATATCTAAACTGGGCTTTCAGAAATTTTCCTGATGTCATTACTTTTTTTTAGTTTTAAAAATAATGGAAGAGGGACTGGGAAGGTAGCTGAGTGGTAGAGTGCTTACCTTGCATGCATGAGACCCTGGGTTCGATTCCTCAGCACCACATAAGCAGAAAAAGCCAGAAGTGGCACTGTGGCTCAAGTGGTAGAATGCTAGCTTGAGCTGAATTGCTGAGGGACAGCACCCAGGCCAAGTTCAGGCCCCACGACTGACCAAAAAAAAAAAAAAAGAGGAAGATCTGTAGTAAATAAGGAATTATGTGATGTTGCTGTATATTCTGATACTAACATATTTCAGTGTATTACTTTAACAAGAAAGATAAAAATTTTGACACATACAAATGTTTAAATATTTAATGAACAGTTTAACACTCATGTTTGAGTGACATGATACTGTACGCAGTCTTTCAGGTATTCTTAAATTTAGATTACATAGGTAAAACTTTATAGACTCAGCTAAATTTGTTTGTATTTAATACTTTAAAGCTGGGCACCAGTGGCTCATGCGTGTAATCCTAGCTACTGAGGAGGCTGAGATCTGAGGATTGCGATTCAAAGTCAGCCCAGGCAGGAAAGTCCATGAGACTTTCCAGTTAATCATAAGAAAACCGGAAGTGGCGCTGTGGCTTACGTGGTAGAGCTCTTGCCTTGAGCTGATAGAGCTGAGGGACAGCATCCAGGCCCAGAGTTCAAGCTTACAACTGACTGAAAAAAAAAAAAAAAAAGGAAATTCTAAATGTAAAGTTGTTCTTAGTAGAGACAGAGTAAAAGGGTAGTTTGTAGGGGTTTGGAGAAGCTGGGAGGTGTACAGTAGGCACAAAATTTCATTATGTGGAACAGATGTTACTGAAATTTAATATATAACATGATTATAGTTAATAATTTTATATTTATACATAAAATTTGCTGAAAGAATATATCTGAAATGTTCCTACTGATCCATACACACAAATTGTAATTGTGAAATGATGGCATTATTAATTATATGTATATATCAAAACCCATTGTATGCCTTAAATATATGCAATTTTAACTTGTCATTTGTGTCCTAGTAATGCTTGGAGGAAAGATCAATTATAAAATTTATATTGAAATGTACAGGTTTAAGGATAGCCAAGACATCCTGAAGAAGAAAACAGGAATGAGGACATGAGTACTTGCCTGTACAGATATTAAAACTATTGTATACCTTGAACTGATTTAGCTACATCTATCAACAAAACCAAATATACTCATCAACAAGAAATGTACTCATTATCTTAATGTATATAACTATAATCCCTCTGTATATGACCTTGACAATAACATTAAATTTAAAAAAAATCAAATATAGACCTAGAAGTAGAAAAATGTTTCTTTAGAACTCTGAAATATGACAATGGAACTAGTATAAACTGGTGAAGAAATGAGTGGCCATTTATTTATTGGAGCTTCAAAATAGGTTATTAGTTTGGAGAAAAGTAAATTGAGCCCATATGCCATTTACAGAAATGACTATCAGATTAATTCAAGACTTAAATGCAAAATGCAAAATCAGAGTTGTTAGAAGGAAAAATAAGAATGACTATTTGGTATGGCACAAATGGATCTCTTGCTTGGTATATGTAGGGATTTTTTTAGATAAGATGCTAAAAGTTTAGATAAGATGCTAAAATGAGAGTAAAGATGATGTGTTGGTATATGTCAAACTATATCAAACCAGTTTTGCAATATTAAAGACTTTCTATCAAAAGATACTTGAAAACCAGGTGTTGGTGGTTCACACCTGTAATCTTAAATATTCAGGAGGCTGAAATCTAAGGATCGTTGTTGGAAGCTAGGCCTGGCAGAAAACTTCTGTGAGACTCTAACACAGGAGGTATGACTCAACTGCTAGATCATTAGCTTTGAGTGAAAATGCCAAGAGAACTTGAGGCCCAGAAAATTAAAAAAGAAAAACAATTGAAAAAACAAAGCAAAAGAAATCAGAAGTGGCACTGTGGCTCAAGTGGTAGAGCACTAGCCTTGAGTACAGAGAGGCTCAAGGACAGTGTACAGCCCTGAGTTCAAGCTCCAGGACTGGCCAAAAAAAAAAAAATTAGAAAAAATTTTAGATAATCGCAGTAAAGATGTTTTACAGGTGAAATAATGTGTAAGCAATGGAAATGAGTGAACTATAGCTATTTAGAACTTCATGGGTAAAACTTTAGAATATCAAATGTTAAGTAAACAAAACAGTTATCAGGCTAAGGCTATAACTCAATGCTAGAATGTGCACTTACCATGTTTCAGCCTGTGGATTCCCAACACTACCAAAATGAAAAAACAAAAACAAAAAACCAAAATGAAAAAAAAACAGCAAACATTTGTCAGGATTGGAGACATGGCTCAGTAGAATGATAGCCATAGAGCAAAAGTATGAGAAGAAGCTGGGTGCTGGTGGCTCACACCTGTAATCCTAGCTACTCAGGAGGCTGAGATCTGAGGATCATGGTCCAAAGCCAGCCTGGGCAGGAAAGTCCATGAGACTATCTCCAATAAACCACCAGAAAACCAGAAGTGGCTCAGTGGCTCAAGTGGTAGAGCGCTGGCCTTGAGCTACAGAACCGAGGGACAGCACCCAGGCCCAGAGTTCAAGCCCCATGACCATCCCCCCCCCCCCCCAAAAAAAAAAATCAGAAGACTATAAATAATGCTCTTCAGATAAATAAAACCCAAAGAAATGACAAACCCCAAATTTAGGATAGTGGTTACTGCTTATTTCTTAAAGACAGAAAGGGAATTAGGTATGGAAGGATAAAAGGTTTGTTATTGATATGAACTTCTTAGATTAGGAGGTAATTCATTTATATTAGTTACAAAGTTGAAAATTAACCAATTTAATATAGTCATAGCAGGGACAGATAATTGTCATGATGTAAAGAATCACCAGTCTGTACCTTAGGTATATAATAAGTAAATGTTTGCTTAGGCAAATGAATGCATTTGCATATACCATTGGAAATGCATATCAAAAATGAGTAGTCTGAGAATTTTGCATTTTCAGTGGTGACTTTCAAGTTCATGAAGCAGTGTAGAACTAGCCAGGAACATGTGGAAATCTGTGGGGGAGTCTTCCTTCATTAATACCAATAAAGCATTTTAAGCTTTGCCAAAAGTTTTATACTCTGAGCTACAAGAATTTTGGGACTCTGGTTCCAAAATTGTGGAGTTAGAACATTATGAAGCACATATTCTTTCTTTTTTTAAAATGTAGAATATAATAAAATGACCTGTAAAGATAATACTAATAGTGGAAAAAGATTTGAGAAAAAAACAATAATCCTCAATTTTCTGCTGTCACTAAGGGAAATAACCTATAATGGACAGCTAATTAGTACTTTATATCTGTGTACTTATTATAAATAATCCTCCCACATCTCAAAATGGATTTTATTAATCTAGTTGTTCTTTATGGAAATTATAAAATATAAATTGCATATATATTAGACCATGTAGTTCTTTACATGCCAGGAAAAGTTAAGAGGGCCAAGAAATTAGTTTCTCTCTCTCTCTCTCTTTCTTTTTTTGTTGGTCATGGGGCCTGAACTCTGGGCCCTGGGCACTGTCCCTCAGCTCTTCAGCTCAAGGTTAGTGCTCTGCCACTTGAACCACAGAGCCACTTCGGTTTGTTTTGGCTTATGTGGTGCTGAGGAATGGAACCCAGGGCCTCATGCATACAAGGCAAGCACTCTATCACTGAGCCACCTGCCCATCCCCTAAATTTTTTTTTTTATTGTTATTATAAAGGTAATATATAGATGGGTCACAGGTCTGTAAGTTAGGTAATGAGTGTAGTTTCTCTTCTAACAACAGGTTTTTCTGTTTGTGTTTTAGCTCTTAAGTCGAAAAGACAAAGCTACCTTTGAAAAATTAGAATATGTAATGAGTAAAGAAGATAACTACAAAAGACTCAGAGACTATATAAGTAGCTTAAAGATGACACCTTGCATTCCCTATTTAGGTGAGTTAATGTCACTGTGTGTTTTTTATATCACTGTGTGTTGCTCTTTATTAATCAGTAATTTGTATGAAACTCAGTTATAAATATATGTATTCTTTTTTTAAATTTTTTTAATTTTCATTTTTTATCAGTTGTGGGGTTTGAACTCTGGGCTTGGGCACTGTCCTTGCACTCTTCAACTCAAGGCGAGCGCTCTACCACTTGAGCCACAGTGCCACTTCCGGTTTTCTAGTGGTTTATTGGAGATAAGAGTCTCACGGACTTTCCTGCCTGGGCTGGCTTTGAACCTCAATCCTCGGATCTCAGCCTCCTGAGTAGCTAGGATTACAAGCGTGAGCCACTGGCGCCTGGCTTAAATATATGTATTCTTAAATCACTGCAAGGTTTCTAAGCTGAAAAATTAGCGGTTTTTACCTTAATATTTGAGATGTACTTTAATATGAATTAGCCTTTTGCCATTCAGGTTTTTCTTAAACTTAGGTTTACTTAGCAGTGGGCCATCTTTTAAAATGACAGTGTTTCAGCCATTTTGGTAATGCTTTTAAGGAATGGAAGAGTAGGTTGCAATGAAGTTTAATACATTAGCTGAAGACATTGATCAAAGTTCTTTTGTAGTTGGCAGATGTTTTAATATGAATTTTGAAGAGTAGTTCAAATGGATGTTGATGGAATTGTTTGCCTGGTTGACATAAATTATTTAACTGTGGAGATTTAGTTTAGTACTAAGACAGTTCTATATTTTATATATTATTTGGCTAAGGATCATCACCTTATTCTATACCTTACAGCATTTATAAATGTCAAGAATGATTTAACCAATAATGTATTATTATTTTCAGCAAAATATGAATAATTTTTAGGTATTTAAATGAAAAGAAACCCCAAATGAACTGTTCATTATATTTAATAATTTGTATCTTCTAGAAAAAACAATTTTTTTAATTAGCTGAGAAAATGACAAATCCTAATGCTATGATATCTAACTCAGAGATCTTTTCTTTTTATTGTTCAGCTTGGTATAGATCTTAAGTTCTCTGTATGTGTTTGTGTAGATAGTCAGAGAGAAAGAATGGGAGGGAACCACTAGCAAAGTTGTTTAGTGGAATCTGGAAAGGTTTTCTGTTAATGTCTGTATTTTCTCTTTGGCAGTTGTGGAAGAAACATGGTTACTCTTTTGAGTTAAAGTAGATGAGGCAAACATTGAGAGGTAGCTGTTAATTTGGAGAAAGTATTAGATCTTCATTTTGATTTCTAATGACTTTATTTCAGTTCTCTTTGTCCTCATGACTTAGAATCTTATTCTTCACTGTCTTCACATATTTTACTTGGTACCCTGTTCTCTCTTTTTTGCTCAGCATGCTATTACCTCATTCTCTGTTCAAAAGAAATTTGGTCCCCACTGACCTCATAGCTCTCAAACCTCATCTTAATTTGGTGATTAAGGTGTTAGTACCAGTACCAGTATCTCTTGGGCATACCGTGTGCACTGGCTTTTGTTTTATTGGTCCTCTATCTCTGCCTTTCTCTTAAATATATTCTTCTTTTTTTGTGTCGGTTGTGGGATCTGAACTCTGGGCTTGGGTGCTGTCCCTCAGCTCTTCAGCTCAAGACAAGCACTCTACCACTTGAGCCACAATGCCACTTCCAGTTTTCTGGTGGTTTATTGGAGATAAGAGTTTCATAGACTTTCCTGCCTGGGGCTGGCTTTAAACCATGATCCTCAGATCTCAGCCTTCTGAGTAGCTAAGATTACAGGCGGGAGCCACTGATGCCCGGCCTCTTAAAGGTATTCTTAAGAAGGCATTTGTCTACTTTAAAAAAAATCTCAGTGGAGTAGGCTCTTTCAGGTTTTTCTAACCTGTTGCTTAATGACACACATCTAGCCTAATCTGTCTGTCTAGCTATTTACCTTATTCTTAGGGCATCATAACATTTTATATGCTAAACTATTGATTGAGACTAATCTATTGCTTGACTACAATAAAATGTGCAGAAATGAACTCATCATCTTTCCCTTAGTCCCAACTGGATCCTTATCTTACCATAGCTTAAGTGAGCAGCTCGTCAATAGAGCATGATAAGCTTATTTTTTATTATAGAAGAAAGCATTTAATATTTGTTGGTTTATCTAATTAAATGATCCCTTTTGGGCTTTCCTATTGTCATAGTAACTGTTTTAGTTTCTGTTTAAATACAGTCAGTGTATTTGGATGGCATATTTGCACAGGTCAACTCTTCATTGCTATCCCTAGTAACTCAGCTGGCACCATTATTTGCTTCATACTGTGCTTGGTGGTGGTGGTGTGTGTGTGTGTGTGTGTGTGAGAGAGAGAGAGAGGGAAGGTGGGAGGGAGAGAAAGAAAAATGAATTTTGTCCAGGACTAACTGAAATTTAACAAAACTTAACCTGTGAACCTAGTGTTTTTTGTTGTTGTTGTTGTTTTTTTACATATTTCCTCCCCCTAATCTGCTTTTGGGTTCTCTAGTAAAATGAGACACATATGTGTGAGGATTATCCAAGAATTAAAGACCAAAAGAGGGAAAATGGTAAAAATGAGATGAGAAAATGAGAAGCATATACTAAAAGCATCTACATAATTCTATATTTTGGTAATCTTCACATGTTTCATCTATGTACTATTTTGCAAAGAGTTTCTAGATTGTGAGATGATGGACCATTTGGCACAAACATGATGGACTTGAAAAAAATGGAATATTTGTTAGATAAGTTAAAAATCATCCTTTTGATGTAGTGACATTTGGTTTTGTAACAAACCCACCAAGTGAATTAAGTCTGTCGAGCCAGAATTGCTTTTCTTAAGAAAATACAAAACAAATTTCTTACACAATTTACTGACTGCTTGAGTTACATCATACACAGATGTTCATTCTTTTCATTCTTCATTTTTATGCTGAAGTGTGTTGAAGAATTAAAGATATAATACCAATTTCCATCCTGTTAATTTGACTTTTTCTTCAGAATCCTTTCCCATTCATATGAAAATAGGCCAAGTGTAGTTGCCAAAAAAACTGAACATTTTTATGATGCTATACATGTCAAGGGACAGAACTTAGCTTGAAAAATAATCCTATGAAAATCGATAGTTTCATTTAACTTTTTCTTCATGAATACAGGATTTACACAGTGCTATCCTTTATCCATTTTGTCTGTAGAGATTCTTAGAAAAAAGAATGTATCAGTTGAAAACATGTATATATAGTACATAGGAAAAGGTCAACCATTTGTTTCTTAACGTGAGAGAAGTGGTCCAAACTGTTTCCTCTGCTAAAATATTAATCGAAACTACCCATTCTTTGTGAAGTTTTAGACAGGTGGGATAGTTGTTTATGTAATAATAAAACTCATTTCTACACTGCTGATTTATTTATAATTCAATGTGGATTAAATTAGAAGTAGAAGAAATATTTTTTTGGCTTTCCACTAGTCATCCTTTAAAAAAATTGTATCTTCTCTTTTGGTTTGCATTCAAGGTAAAAATTAGTCAGCTTGGACAATATAGTGAAAAATTCTTAGAACAAGGATGCAGTTTGTCTAGAGAGGCATAGCTTTGGCAGATCTCAAGGAAAAATGTTTTATATGAGAAATCATTGCTTTAAATCTGAAAATCATTAACAGCAGTCATTTGTTCTTGTCATTGGAGAAAATTTAAGGGTTTGGTTTGAGAAGTTTTGCTTTGCTACAGAGAAAGCTAGAACAATACAAAAATAATTTATTTGTATAAAGTATGGTAAATACTCTTATTTTCTAAACCTTATTTCTATGTAATGGCTCAAGCAGATGAGAATGCTAACTGGGAAAAAGAACATAGCTTTTAAACTATGAAAAAATAAGCAAATTGTTGCAGTATGATCTTACTTCCTATTAAGTAAAATAGGATGTTACGGTTAGTTTTTGTAAAATCCTGTAGTCATTCTGTGGGATTTATAAAAACTTGCCCTTATAATACAACTTTCTCCTCTTTCTCTTTTAATTTTCAGTTTGAAATAATCAGAGAACTAGAGGTGTAGCTCAAGTAATAGAGCACCAGCCCTTAGCAAAAAAAGCCATGCAAGGGCTAGGAATGTGGCTCAGTGGTAGAGCGCTTGTCTTGCATGCATGAGGCCCTGGGTTCGATTCCTCAGCACCACATAAGCAAAAAAACAAAAAAAAAAAAAAAAAAACTGAAGTGGCACTGTGGCTCAAGTGGCAGAGTGCTAGCCTTTATCTGAAGAGCTGAGGGACAGCGTCCAGGCCCAGAGTTCAGGCCCCATGACCAGACCAAAAAAAAAAAAAAAAAAGCCAAACAAGACTGCAAAGCAATACTGGCACAAAAGTTAAATTGAAAAGTAGAGTAAAATGTAAATTAAAATACAGTTAGGTTAAGACAAAGGGAATCTTTATAATCTGCAATATTACCTTCTACCTCTCTGAAAAAATATATACTATCTTTTGCTTGTTTGTTTTCCCCCATTAGTGGGGCTTGAATTCAGGGCCTGAGATTTTTCACTAAAGGCTAGTGCTCTACCACTTTGAACTACAGCACCACGTCTGGTTTTCTGGTAGTGAATTGGAGATAAGATTCTCATGGACTTTTCCTGCCCAGGCTGGCTTTGAACCTCAATCCCCAAATCTCAGCCTCCTGAGTAGTTAAGATTACAGGCATGAGCCACTGGCGCCCAGCTTTTTGTTTGTTTGCTTGTTTTTGCTTTTTGTTGGTCATTGGGCTTGAACTCTGGGCCTGGGTGCTGTCCCTCAGCTCTTCAGCTCAAGGCTAGCGCCTCTTGAGCTCTATAGTGCCACTTCCGATTTATTGGAGATAAGAGTCTCATGGACTGTCCTGCTTGGGCTGGCCTTGAACCTGGATCCTTAGATCTCAGCTGCCTGAGTAGCTAGGATTACAGGTGTGAGCCACTGGCATCTGACTTGCCCAGCTTATACTATGTTTTATTTCTAAATTTTGCTTGATTTGTCTCACTGAAGAGTATACAAGAGTATAAGCCCTTATTTGCCTTCTTCAAGGCTTTTTATGGCATATAAAGTAAGCATTCAATAGTTATACCTAGTTAAATGATCTCTCTCTGGATTTTCTCATTATGCTGGAAACTTATGTTTTTCTTCCTTTCTTATTTATTTGTGTTGGTACTGGGGCTTGAATTGAGGGCCAAGATGTTCTCCCTTAGCTTTTTCTTTACAAGGCTAGTGGTGTTCTACCACTTGAAGCATACCTCTACTTCTGGCTTTTTATGGTTAATTGGAGATAAGTCTCTCAGATTTGTCTGCCCAGGCTGGTTTTAAATTTCATCCCTCAGATCTTAGCCTCTCAAGTAACTAAAATTATGGGCAGGAACCACTATTGCTTGGTATAACTTTTAATTTTCATTTGAATATAATGAATGGATTTGTATGGGTCAAGTTTTTAAATATCCTAGTTTATTTTTCGCACCCCAGCTGGCAAACCAGCATTTGCTCAGCACTGCTTGGTGCTCAGTTCCTAACCAGGAATTAAATGGACTGTTGCTGCCTCTATAAAACTTATTGGGGCTTTAATAAAAGAGGTAGAGGTTAGTATCTTTATCTCCTGAATGACTCATTGTCATTTATTGACATTGTCATCAGAAGCATGAATCTTTTTTTTTTTTTTTTTTTAATGTCAGTTGTGGGGCCTGGACTCTGGGACTGGGTACTGTCCCTCAGCTCTTCAGCTCAAGGCTAGCACTTTACCACTTGAGCCACAGTACCACTTCTAGCTTTTTCTGCTTATGTGGTTCTGAGGAATTGAAGCCATGGCCTCATGCATGCACTGAGCTACCTTCCAAGCCCAGAAACATGAATCTTTGCATTACATTGTTAAATAGTTGGCACAGTTAATGAAGATTTCAAAACATATATAAATTTATAGTCTTTTTCAGACTATCTGAATTATTTTTATTTTTCTGTTGTTTTTACATACAAAAGACAGGGTGAATACTGATCTCAAAATAGATTTAAGTCTTATATTAGTTTTAGAAATTTCTACTCACCCATATACAATTATTACCCAAAATGATAATTCGTAGTAGTCACATTTCTATTTAGGTAATTTCAACGACATTCTAAGGCTTTCTTCAATTCTGCATGGACTAAAGGGACTTTTTCCTTTTCCTTCACTGGCATAAGTAAGAAAACACTGACAGTGATTTCAAAATACTTAATGGAAAAATCCCATTGGCTTTTAATATTTTCAAAGATTTCCATTTCTGTTTGTTAGTTTATATTACAGATTACCAGTTATTTTGATTATTTATTTGTTATGTGGTATATGCTCATACAGCAATGGAATGTGCTCAATTTCTTTTGTATCCTGAAAATGAGCTCTGATCAAATGGCAGCTAGCCGTAGCTTTTTCCTTAGCCAAAATAACATCCCTATTTTCCATTATATCACTTCTGTCCCCTTTTTTTTGTAAATCTGACTGTTCTCTATACTTAAAACTCCTCTAGTATCTTTTTGATATATTTTCTTTACTTTTGACTAAAGATATGCAATATGAGTAGAAGACGTTCATGGTGTTTTTTGTTTTTGTTGGTCATGGGGCCTGAACTTTGGGCCTAGGCACTGTCCCTGAGCTCTTCAGCTCAAGGCTAGCGTCCTACCATTTGAGCCATAGCACCACTTCCGGCTTTTTCTGCTTATGTGGTGCTGAGGAATCCAACCCAGGGCCTCATGCATGCAAGGCAAGCACTCTACCACTGAGCCACCTTCCCAGCCCCTGTTCATGGTGTTTTAAAGAACTTGCATTTTTCAATAAAATAGAAAGCAGCAGGCTGGGATGTAGCTTAGTGGCAAAGCACTTGCTTAGCAAGTATAACATCCTGGGTTCAGTCCTCTGTTTAAAACCTCCCCTCCCAAATAAAAGAGAAAGAAGCTTTACACGCCTACATGCTCATCGAAAGCAGCATCAGATTCACCAAATTTAACGACTTTGGTGGCCGTTTGCCAATTACCAATATTAATAAAATATGCAAGATTATTTTATAATCTTTTTGAGTATACACTACCAGAAAAATAATTTTAACTTAACATTAATTAATCACGTTAGTAGCCAGGCACTCACTGGTGGCACATGCCTATAATTGTAGTTACTTAGGAGGCTGAGATCTGAAGATTGCTGTTCAAAGCCAGCCTGGACAGTCTGTGAGACTCTTATCTCCAATTAACCACTCAGAAAACCAGAAGTAGCACTGTAGCTCAAGTGGTAGCACGCTTGCCTTGAGCTGAAGAGCTGAGGGGCAGCACCCAGGCCCAGAGTTCAAGCCCCACAATTGACAAAAAAAAAAAAAAATGTTAGCAACACTCAGCATTTAACTAAATGTGCCTGATACGTGGTACTTTACATATATTGAATACATAACAATATTATAAAATAGATGACTAATTATGTTTTATAGTCAAAGAAACTGATGTAAAACAGGTTAAGTTGACTTGCTATACACATGTGTATTATGACTTTTATATGAAAATATTACATTAACATTGAAAATTTTTGGTTAGTTAACTTTGAGTTTATTCATCATTTCCTATAACTTTTTATAGAATTATAACTTAATAATAGTTAACTCTGATCAAATTGAAAAGTGAGATTATTCTCAGCTAACATTTTTTTAAAGATATTATCATCTAAAAAAAATCTCAAAGTGATACCTAATTTGAACAATATCCAGAATAAGAATTTTTAAGAATCTACAGGCTTCATGCCTGTGATTGCAGCTACTCAGGAGGTTGAGATGTAGAGGATTACATTTTGAGGCTAGTCCTTCAAAAAGTTAGCAAGGCCTTATTCACAAGTGAAGCAGATGCTGTGGATCACTCTGTAATGCCAGCTATGAAGTCTGGGACTGACCCAAGATAAAAACAAAACCAAAAAATATAAAACCAAAAAATACAAAAAGCAAACAAGTACTAGAGGTGGGCACAAGTGACAGAGTACCTAGGAAGCTCAAAGTCCTGAATTAAACCACATGTACAAAATTAAAAAATCTGCTTTAGTTAGACAAGTTTGCTAGATGTTAATGCTCTTCTATTTTATACAGACCAAAATCTTAAGTCTTTTGAAGGGTTGATAAATGAAAGTGTCTGATAAACTAACTTGAAGGTAAAGTTATGAGTTCATTCTTAACCACTACTAAGACAATTTCTTTCTTTTTTGGGGGGGGGAGGGGTCTAGTCATGGAGCCTGAACTCTGGGCCTGGGCACTGTCCCTCAGCTCTTCTCAAGGCTAGCGCTCTACCACTTGAGCCACAGTGCCACTTCTGGCTTTTTTCTTTTTGTTTATGTGGTGCTGAGGAATCGAACCCAGGGCCTCATGGATGCAAGGCAAGTGCTCTACCACTGGGCCACCTTCCCAGCCCCAACTAAGACAATTTCTACAACTCTGTTCCTAGGTTACTTGCCAAGTTGGTAAGTCAGTCCTTATATGCCAAACAAGTGATCTAACCTATTATCTTCTAATACTTGATTTAGACGGAAACTCCTCTCACTATTCTTACCTTCACTTCCATTTTTTAAAAATTACCTGCTGTAACAGCTACATTGCACTAAGGTTTGCAGGTAAAGGTCATGGATCAATGTAAATTCAAACCTATAAATTAAACAAAGTGTCACTGATTCAGAAGATGTTGCACTAAGCTTTCTGGGAAACATGCAGCAAAGCCATAGCTGTTCTATGTCGGAGAACAGAATGGGTCTGCTGGCTAAAGCAGTTAAGCATTCAGCCTACTATTCTAATTTGTATGTGAAATGTATTCTAAGCGAAATTCTTATAATGTCCTGTCTAGTAAATGGATACCTCTGTGAAGTTTTATTCAGTTAAGATTTAGAACTGTGTGATGCCTAATTCCCCAAAATTCCGTAGCAGAATTTTTCTCCCAATTCTGGGGGTAGGGTGGGAAGAAGGACCTCAAAAGTAGTTTTAAGATAACTAGAGCCATGTGCCCAGTGGCTCATGCCTGTAATCCTAGCTACTTAGAACATAAGAAGTGGGCTGTGGTCAAGTGGTAGAGTGCTAGCCTTGAGCTGAAGAGCTCAGGGATATCCCCCAGGCCTAGTTCATGCCCCATGACCGACCAAAAAAAAAAAAAAGATGATAACTAGGTAAAGTGAAGAACAGTAATCTAATAATCAGGTTGCAACTTTTCACTTTTAAGATGTGATACCCGAGAAACTTGCCTTGATGATGAACTTGAATTGTTCAAATAGTTATCTTCCCATTATACCATTCTTGTCTCAGATTTCTTTTAAATTTTAACTTAACAAGTGAATTAAAGGAATGTCAGCTCTAAGCAATGAATTTATTTCTGGGAGACAGGTGTGTTATAAGATCCCTAATAAAGATATGAGTTGCAAAGCATTAGGACCTATGTCCTTCTCTCCTTCCCTCCTTCCTATCTTCCCTCCCTCATCTCTCATTTTCTTGTATATATTCCTCTGTCCCCAACCCCCTTCATTACTCTCTCCATGAAATTAGAGTTTGGACTAGCCAGGCCTCTGTGTTTTTTGCTCTGAAGCGATTGAATCCTCTATATTGTGAAAACATCTTGAACAATTCCTTGACATTGTTTTAGTGTCATCTATAAATATACACTAATGCTACTACAGCCACCCAAGTTCTCTGCCTTGAATAGCAATGAGATTTTTTCCCCCCGCCCAAGTACTGGAGATCAAACCCAGGACCCCTTACTTTCTAGACAAGCACTCTACCACTGAACTATATCCTCAGTCTGAAAACAAGATTTTTTTCTAAAATAAAGATTGGTAAGTTAGGAGAAAAAGAATAAATAAATTCACTTAGAATGAACTATATAAAACATTGGCACTTTGGTTGTAGAATTATATTAAACAGTATAACTATAAAAAACAATTATACTAACTTTGCTATATAAACTGCATTTCAGAGTTTTAGTAGTCAGCATATCATATAAATATTGAAAACATACTTGTGTGTTTATTTTTAATAAATTTACCATGCAAATAAGCATTAGTATTTATATTTCTTAATTAAAAATGATATATACTTTAATATTCTAAGTCACCATTCTTTGGGGGGTGGGAAATCATTAACAGTTCAGATTCAGTCATTAAATGTGAAAGACACATATGATTTGAAATTTTCTCAAATTTTTATTCAGTGAAAAAATTTTTTACAGCAAAACTAGAGATTTCTCTAATTTCTTGTCTGTTTTTATAAATAAAATGCATTACTTGGCTAAAATCTTAAAATTACTTTTGCAAGTTAGAATAATTTCATAATTTTTAAATAAATGGTTAAGAATCTTGAGCATGTATTGTTTGACTTAAAGCTAAGATTTGATTTGTATTGTGACACATATTTACATTTTAGAAAATAGACTTTACCTGTATTCAATCAATATAACTTTAAAAAATAAGTAGGATATTCATACAAATCATTTTGAGCAGAATTTTGAAGGAAGATGAAACTACATTCATAAATCCTTTTTATAGTTAGGGTAAAATTCATTTTACAAATTCTTTGTTTAGAAATAATTGTGCAAAGTTAGAGACATAAAACATTTTTGGGGAACTAAAATTACATATTCTGTGCCATTTATGTTGGACTGTCTCTCATCAGTCAATAGGCTTGATCATCATCTGAACGGCTTTTAAGGAGTATGACCCGCCTCTGTATTCAGCCCAAAAAATTCCATCTTGGTGCTTGCTTCTGTAATGACCTCCTCTGTACCATACTCCATTGAGGTTAGAATGTGCACAGGCATTGTACCACCAGCCTCCTTTATGAAAGTGAGCGCAGTTTCCTTGGAGGAAAAACACACAGATGTCAAAGTTTCTTACCAGCAGTTAAAAACTTGTACATTCAGAACGGTTTTAATTTGAACTTTCCTTACTGAATTGTTACCTTTAGTAGGTTTATTTTACTTACTCTATTGTTATTGTATCCTCTACTTGAAAGAGCACTTGAATTGCCCTTTTTATTTATCTTTTTGATGTAAGATTACTTTTTTTTTTAAGCATTCAGTCTTCCAGCCAACAGGGTAAAGGAAATACAGTGTTCATGAGAGATATACAGAGAAAAATATTAGGAAAGGAAAGGTAGAGAATTGGTTAAAGCAGAGGGTAAAGTTTGAGAAAAACTGAATTTCAAAATAGCAAAAGAAAAAAAAAATTCTACCTGGGCCCTCCTCTAATCCCAGCCCATGGGAGGGAGGAAATAGAAAAACTAACATTTGATGCCAGCCCAGCAAAAACTGAGTCAGAAAATGACCATTTGAGGCTAGCACAGGCAAAAAAGGAGAACCCTCCCTCTAAACAGTAAACAAACAAAACGGCTGTAATGATGTTGTATATTACTACTTCCCAGTTATATGGGGAAGCACAGGTAGGAGCATCGTGGTCCAACTGCAGGCAAAAATGTACACCCTATCTGAAAAATAACTAAAGCAAAAAGGGCTCATGTGGTAGACCACCTACCTAACAAGCACCACCAGAAAATAAATATGAAAGTAGCATAGCTCATCCAGGAATTAAATGAGTTTCTGTAAACAGAATATGTATGGTCACATTCTTTCTCTTTTGCCATCATAAAGTAGATTAAAAGAGAAACCTATATCCAGCCAAAAATTGGTGATGCTTGGATTTGCTGGGTAGACAGGCTCTCCACCATTTGAACCATACATCCACCTTTTGTGCTTTCATTACTTTTCAAATAGTGTCTTCATTTTTCTGCCTAATTGGCCTAATTGTGCCTTCTCACAGTAGCTTTTTTGGCTAGCCCATTTTACCACCTACCACAGGCCCTGATACCCACCACTTTCTTTTGCTTATTTGATTTTAATTTTCTTAGAGCAATCTATCAACACCCGATAAATCTCTTTAGATGTAAGCTCCAAAGGAGAGAAACTTTCTTAACTGTGTTGTCTCAGCATTTTCAGCAGAGTCTGGCAGCATATGTCAGATATCTAGGTAGTATATGCATTTGAAGGAAGTTTCATTTTTTCATGAATGTGGCTTGGTTTTGTTTTTCTCTAGATCCTTGTTCTTCCCCAATATCATACTTTAAGAAAACCTTATAGAAGAGATCCTAAAAGCTATGTTCACAATGACTGTTCATATGACCTTTCTAAAATGATTTTACTAGCATAAACTTCAATAACTAGGTGCTATGTAATGCACAGAAAGTGGCAACTATACAAATACGTTTTCTTACCTGCATACATATCTTTGTCTCTGTCCAGTGTGGTGAATTGTTTACCATTATGCCACATCATAGAATCCCCTGCATTTCCCTGGTAAGTTCCCAGGCGCAGTCTATAGAATTCACTTTCAGGTTCCAGCCGAAAGCTACTATATTCTGCATACACCTTTTTATCACTCCAGTCTTCTAATTCAATCAACAATTTATAATTATCTTGATTACTAAGCTTATAGATATTTTCCAGTCCAAGCCAGTATTCTCCATCAATGTTTCCAAACCCTTTCTGTTAATAAACAGAGATGAATGCATAAGTAAATGTAAAGACAGTAAACATAATTACAGAAAAATAAATGTTCAGTGGTATACAGATCCTGGCTATTTAAGTGGTAATATGAACTTGGTTTTAGTAGATCACCTGGTTTTCATATGTTCTACATTGTCACTTGGTTTTGTTTTGCTTTAATATGTCATTGGTTACATAGCTATTTAGAAATCCTGTGAGTAAACAAAGGCCAAAGACCAAAGTTTATTTCTGGCTAGTAAAAACAGGAACTGGTAAACTATAATAGATTTGTGAAAAGGAATCCCAATCTCATACTGCTCCAAGAAGCACTTTTCCCTGCTTAGTATAATATATGGATATTGTTCCTACCTTACTCCAACAAAGGATATCTAAGATTATTAAGGCCTTTAATTAAAGCACTACCAAGTATTTTAGAACAGGTTACCTTTTGTAGTTCTAAGTAAAATTAAGAAAAGGTAAAGTACTAATCTTCCAAGAGTCTTCTTTGAAAAACTAAAACACTTGGGCTGGGAAGGGGCTTAGTGGTAGAGTGCATGCCTCGCATGCATGAGCCGCTGGGTTCGATTCCTCAGTACCACATAAGCAAAAGACGCTCAGGGACAGTGCCCTGAGTTCAAGCCCCAGAACTGGCAAAAAATAAATAAATAACTTGAAAAATGAGTTAAATGAGTTAATTAAATGAATTCATTAAATGTATTATGGTTTCAATAAGAATTTTGACATTTTAGGTATGTAGCAACATAGATTTAGGACACCTGATCTTAACACTGTAAGTGTATTTCCAAGAAGATTGTGTTAGAGGATTTTTTTTCCCCTATCTTTTGTGCTACTTGTTCAGAGATGTTAAATCATTTTTGACATGAATATATTGACTGACAATAGAATTTCACATAGGAGTTAGAGTAAGCTTGCCTTATTCTGGATTTAATATGTGTGTTTTTGACAAGCTGTGTAAAATTTAAAAAAAAAATTTTTTTTAATGAGGTGGATACCGGTGGCTCACACCTGTAATCGTACCTACTCAGGAGGCTGAGATCTGAGGAACACAGTTCAAAGCCAGCCCGGGCAGGAAAATCTGTGAGACTCTCATCTCCAATAAACTATTCAAGACCAGAAGTGTCGCTGTAGCTCAAGTGGGTAGAGCACTAGCCTTGAGCTGAAGAACTCAGGAACAGCGCCCAGGCCGAGTTCAAGCCCCACAACTGACCCCTCCCACTTCTACCCCCCCCTCCCCCAGCCCCCCAAAAAATCAGTGAAAGAAAAAATCAAAGCCAGGGTTCCTGTTGCTTACATCTGTTATGCTAGTTACTCAGGAGGATCACAGTTCAAAGCCAACCCTGGCAGAAAAGTCCTTGAAACTTTTTTTTCGGAGCGGGGCGGGAAGTCAGTAGTGGGCTTGAACTCAGGGCCTAGAGCTGTGTCTGAGCTCTTCTGCTCAAGGCTAGCACTCTACCACTTTGATCCATAGCTCCACTTCTAGTTTTCTGGTGACTAATTAAGCCACCAGCACTGATAAAAGACTTTTTTTTTTTTGTCTTTTTTGGGGTCCGGTCGTGGGGCCTGAACTCTGGGCCTGGGCATTGTCCCTCAGCTCTTCAGCTCAAGGCTAGCACTCTACCACTTGAGCCACAGCGCCACTTCTGGCTTTTTTTCTTTTTGCTTATGTGGTGCTGAGGAATCAAACCCGGGGCCTCAGGCATGCAAGGCAAGCGCTCTACCACTGAGCCACCTTCCCAGCCCTGACATAAGACTCTTAACTGATTAACCATCCAAAAAAGCCGAGAATAGAACTATGGCTTAAGTGGTAGAACACTAGCCTTGAACAAAAACCAAAACAACAACAAAGTCCCCTCAGAGACAGCTCAGGCCTGAGTTTAAGCCCTAGGACAGGAATTAAAAAAAAAAAAATTCTGGCATTTACATTACACTGTTCGGTTGATGCAAAGAAACTCTCTTGTGTTTTGGTCATTTCTGGTTACATTGTTGTGTGATCTGCTGAGTGTTTCCTTGCTCTTAATTTTCTGAAATATGCCTCTCAAAAAGCAAAGGAAATACTAGATTTGTTCAAAAGCAGCATGTCTTTAGTGGAAGTTGGATATATTTATGGGAAAAATGAATCGGGCATCTGCAGTACTATGTTGGATTTTTTTGTATCCTGAGCATGTATGGAACGATAGACCCTGAAATATCAAGGGTCTACCTTGTGTACATTTGACTTCAGTTTTGCATGAGGGATTAGCCATCTAGAATATATAGTCTTTCTTGCCATCTCTAAACTGAAATATATATGTGTATATTTCATTCATTCATAAATTTAACATTTCATAAAAACCATTAGGAAAGACAACTTGTTTTACTTTTTCCAAGTTGATAATACATATTCTAGTTCTAAATGAAAATCTAGTTGTTTATCATTACCCACCCACCCCCCCCCAGCAACGGCATGTCTTGTGTCATAAACTTAAAACATGGTTATCAGAAGTAATTCAAGAAAGGGAGACATTTTTCCATTCCTATATACATATTTATTGCCAAATATGTTTGATGTTACAAATGTGATCATAGGAGTGGAATTAAGTATCTTTGCAAATTATAAGTCTGTGTATGAGTTAGTCATCCAAACTGAAAAGGAGACATTTTAAATTATATCTTCAGTTAACTTTTTACATTTCAATTTTTAATTTAAAAATGGAAAATAATATATCTGACATGTAGATGATGAAAATCTCATAGATAGTTGTATATATCTTCTTTACTACTGCAAAAGCTACCTGGCACCACCTTTCCTAAGTCTGAACTCAGTGATTTACCTTATAATTTTCCCAGTTTCTGAAGAAGTTAACAGAGCCATCTGTCCTTTTCTGAATAACAGTCCAACCCCCAGGATCCAAACTGTTCTCACACCATAACTGCATTGGTCCATTGCTGTTTTCAGGCTTAATCATGTAAATCCCACTGACTGAATGTCCAGCTTCTCTTGCGTGCTGACAGTCTTTGAATGGTCCTGTAATTTAAGTATTATTAATTACCAGAAAACGTAATATAAAATAAAGGAGTAGTTTAGTGAAGTTTCCTACTTTTGTTTTTTATAGAAACCACTTTCTATAGTGTACATAATACCAAATAAGTTGAGGTAAATTTTAAAAAGTAAATAAAAGCATTACACCAGTCACACTATTAATAAAAGCATTAATTTGTTTGTTCCATTCTTCTCTGCTTTATCCAGAGACATGTTTGGTATAATCCTAAAATAGGTAGAAATTTTGATTGACTTTTTGGGAGCTAATCCTGAGGTTGAAATCAGGGCCTGGGTTCTGCTGTCCCTAAGCTTTTTTGCTCTAGGCTAGCACTCATAAGATTTGAACCACAGCTCCACTTCTGACTATTTGGTGGTTAATTGGAGATAAGATTCTAACTGAGTTGGCTTTGAACTGCAGTCATCAGATCTCACTCAGCCTTCTGAGTACCTAGGATTACTAGGAAAACTACTAGCACCTGGCAGATTGTATCTTTTTAATTTCTGTGAAGTTACACTCTCTCTCTCCATACTAGCCTTATAATAGCTGTATAATGACTATGCCATCAATACATCAATGTTTCTTCTATCATTGGATTTTTGTTCTTGCAATTAATACTGTACAAAGTGACTTCATTCTTACTGACTTTATTTTTCATATTTAATTATACAAATGCTATAAAATGGAATTGACCTGGATTAAGGAGGTATCGGCATACTTTAGAGTTTCTGAAATTCTATTTTGGTGAAAAGTACTAGTCTTGGGCTGGGAAGGTGGCTCAGTGGTAGAGTGCTTGCCTTGCATGCATGAGGCCCTGGGTTCGATTCTTCAGCACCACATAAGCAAAAAGAAAAAAGCCGGAAGTGGTGCTGTGGCTCAAGTGGTAGAGCACTAGCCTTGAGCTGAAGAGCTGAGGGACAGCACCCAGGCCCAGAGTTCAGGCCCCACGACTGGACCCAAAAAAAAAAAAAGAAAAGTACTAGTCTTACTCAGTGAATCTTGACAGTCTAGTAAGTTTTAGAAATGCTAAATATTAGATTTTCCTTTTGAAAATTCACAACATACATTTGTTTATTAAAGACTGAGAAAACTTGAAACAAAGAAACCAGATTTTCCCAAACTTACATTATCTCATTTTCCCTATACAATACTTAACAGGCTTTATGAAAACATTTCAGGAATGTTGGCCTGAATGGCTTTCCAAAACATATTAGTTTATGACTACTAGTATTTTTTAATCAAATTTGTACAGTGATTTTGTGATAGTTTACAGATGTTCTACTGATATAATAGCTAAAATGTGTATCTTAGATGATGATAACCTTACTCTTCTACCCATTTCTTTCTACCCCTCATGTCTTTGCTTAGCACTACTGTGCTGCATTTGCCCTATCGTTATTTCTCAATCCTAAATATTCTCTGTATTTTTAATCAGCTATTAAATTTCTTTCTCCTCTTCTCTCTTTCTCCCTTCTTCCCTCAATTCCTCTCTTTTCTTTTTCTCCTCTTTTCCCCGTTATCTCCCCCCCCCCCCCCCCCAATGCTTATTAGAGTTTGAATGCAGGGTCTCATGCTTACTAGGCAAGTACTCTACCATTGAGCCATACCTATAGTCTCTCACTATTTTTAAAATGACAACTCATTTTGTAAAATAATTTGTAGCGTGTCATTCGTATGCTGTATTTTGAGATACATAGAATGACAGCTAAACATCTTTCACCAGTGATTTTTATTTGAGTCTTGTTTTTAGTTTTGTTTCTGTTCTAGGCTTGGGGCTTGAACTGAAGGCCCTGCATGCTGTCCCTGAGCTTTTTTGCTCAAAGCTAATGCTCTACCAGTTGAGCCACACTTCCACTATTGGCTTTTTGTGGTTAATTGGGAATAAGAGTCTCAAGGATTTTCCTGCCCATGCTGGCTTTGAACTGTGATCTTCATATCTCAGCCTTCAGAGTAACTAGGATTAAAGGAGTGAGCCACCAGCACCTAGCTGAGTTTGGTGTGTGCGTGCATGTACACACACACACACACACAAACACACACACACACACACACACACACACACACACTCATTCCGAAACTGAGCCACCAGCACCTAGCTGAGTTTGGTGTGTGCGTGCATGTACACACACACACACACACACACACACACACACACACACACACACACACACTCATTCCGAAACAAGAATTGCCCTGCTCTTACTAAAACAAAAGTATAAATATTCAAGTTGTCAAATTGTATGTTAGAAAATTTCAAATTTTGATAAGTATAATCTTTAAATTTGATGGAAATAAAGTTTTAAGTACAGTTCTTAAAAGAATTTCTACTCTGGATAATAGGATAGTTGAAATTTTGAGAAATGTTTTATACTATGCCAAGAACATAGTGTTTCTTTGGAGTTTTATTAAGATAGAATTAATCTCATTTAATAAATACTTATACCTCTATCATTATAAGGAATGTTTAATGTGAGCTCTTCTTTATAGATTGCGCCTTGAGGATAGATACCATTTTGTTTTCCTTCTATATGTTTTCCTTTCTTTAGTCCTAGGTCATCAGTAGTTTTTGTTAAATGAATTATTCTTCTTTCTCATTTTATTATTTATTGGTTGCTTGTGGGACTTGAGCTCAGGGCCTGGGGCTGATCCCAAGCTCTTTTGCTCAAGGCTAATTCTCTACCACTTTGAGCCACAGCATCAGTTACAGTTTTCTGGAGGTTAATTGGAGGTAAGAGTCTCACATACTTTCTTGCACTGGCTGGCTCTGTACCTCCATCCTCAGATCTCTCTTGGGTTTTTTTGTTTTTGTTTTTTTGGTACTAGGTATGAAACCCAGGATGCTTTGCCATTAAGCTACATCCTAGCCCTTCTTTTTTTTTTTTAATACAAGAAAGATTTGTTTCATAGATAAGTCACTGGTTCACATTTTTAAAAATATTCATACAGTGTCCATAAAGCACTATAGATTTCTGGCAAAAATACGCAACACTGAAGAATAAATGGTATCTTTCTTGGATTATATTACCTTTTCTCTTCAGAGATTTTCTTTTCTTTATTAAGGCTTGAAGGTAACTACAATTATTTAATTTTTTTTCTTTATATTCCTAGTTTGCTGACAGGTTTTTTTGTTATTGTTGTTGTTGTTTGGTTGTTTTTGGTTATTGGTTTGGGTTCTTTTTGTTGCTTGTCCTGGGGCTTGAACTCAGGACCTGAACACTGTCTCCAAGCTTGTTTTCATTAAGGTTAGAGCTTTACCACTTGAGCCACAGCTCCACTCTGGCTTTTTGGGGGGAGTAGGGAAAGAGAGAGAGAGAGAGAGAGAGAGAGAGAGAGAGTGTATATGTTTTCTCTGGGTTGTTCATGTTTTTGTTTTGAGACAAGTCTCCATAGTGCACATAGTCTTGATCATCCTGCCTCATTTCTCAAGTGTTATGATTATAAGTATACACTACCACACCAGCTTTGGGTTTTTTTTTTTTGGTTTTAAATCGTGAGTAGATTTAAAACTTTTTTTTCAAAAGCTTTTTCTGTGTGTACTGAGTTGATGATGCTAGGGTTTTTCTTATTTGCTAAATGAATTATATTTTGTATTGCTGGGATAAATTTATCTTGATCACAGTATTCCCAGCTTTCTCACCACCACTTCTTCTATAACACACACAGCCCCACCCCTCTCTCACTTATGAAGCTTAGGCTGCACTGGATCTCAATATTCCCCTGCCTGCCTCACTTCATGGGTGCTGGGATTGCAGGTGTGTTACCACCATGCTCAGCTCAATTCAGCTTAAAGTAATCATCACTGATGATCATTAGTTCTTTTTTTATTTCATTCTTGGTTTTGACACAGGAATGAATCTTAGGTAATGACTTAAGTGGTACTTAATACACATGTGCCTATTTAATTAATAAACTTAATGTGCCTATTTGATGAAGAAACTACTTGACAAATGTGCAGTCATTTCAAACTGTCACATTCTGCAGATATGTACCCTAATAGCCGATTTTAGCTGTTTTTTGTGTTTAGCTAACGTTACGCATAGCACAAAACATTAATATGCTTGGGCAAAATCTCAGGCAAACCAATATTACTTCTTTTACTGATGTTGTTCTCCTTTTTTCTTCATTCAAAAGTGAATCATCTTATATTACAGAAGCACATATGACCTTTCAGTCAGAGAAAGGCGGAGAGCCTGTATTTCAGTTCTGTAAATTTCTTCTTATATGGGAGTGAAATGGGAGGGAAAGGGAAGAAGGACTCCAAAACCCATATTGAGGCTATTTTGTGTAATACAGGTAAAGTATTTGTTTACTTATAGTCAAGGACTTTATTCTTTGGTGTGCATCCATAGTTTTAAGTCCACTTAGGCACTCATATTTGTTGAATTACTGGGGTTTGATTTTAGGAGCTCAAGTTTGCCAGGCATGTATTCTACTTGGCACACCTGCCTGTCTACTATAGGTATCCATCTATTGTCTCTCTGTCTATTTGATATTGAGGTTTCAGTTCAGGAGTTTGCACCTAGTAGGCAAACACTGTTGCACTTGAGCTACACTTCCAGTCCTCATCAGAGAGTTTGATCTGACAGAGCAGTTGCAAGTTCCTTATGTCTGAAATGAATTAACTGATGATGTTTAGAATTCTTCAGATAGACCTTGTTAGCAATGTGGAATCTTCTGAGATTTTTTTTCTTTCCTTAAATTTTTTTTTTTTTATTTGCCAGTCATGGGGCTTGAACTCAGGGCCTGGGATCTGTTCCTGAGCCTCTGTGTGCTCAAGGTTCATGCTCTACCTGAGCCACAGCGCCACTTCCAGCCATTTCTGTTTATGTGGCACTGAGGAGTCGAACCCAGGGCTTCATGCATGCTAGGCAAGCACTCTACCACTAAGCAACATGCCCAGCCTTGAGGCAATTCTTTTAATAAGGGTGTAAATCAACTAGAGGATAAACTTTTCAGCATAATTGCTCAGCTACAAGTTTCAGGAAAGTACTTTATATTAGAGAATCTTGATATTGGTATCCCACTGAAACCAATTGTACCTAAAATTTGAACTAATAGGAAGCATTCCAAATTTTAAAATGTTAAATATTCTATAATTTAAAGTAAGCCTGACACAATAGAACACACCTTTAATTTCTGATGGCTATGTTTCAAGTTTAACTTTGTTTTTTGTTGTTGTTGTTGCTGTTTGTTTTTGTTTTTGGGGTTGGGGTTTTTTTGGTGCCTGTCATTGGGCTTGAATTCAGGGCTTGGGCACTGTCCCTTGCTCAAAGCTAGCACTGTGAGCTACAGCTCAGCTTCTGGTTTCTTTTTTTCCTTGGTAATTAATTGGAGATAAAAGTCTCAGACTTTCTTTCCCAGGATGGCTTCAAATTGCTAGGATTATGGATGTGAGCCACCAATGCCTGGCTCAATTTTAATGTTTTTGTTGTTGTTGTTGTTTTGTTTTGTTGTTTTTTTGGGTTTTTTTTTTTTTTTTTTTGGTTGGTCATGGGGCCTGAACTCTGAGCCTGGGTACTGTCCCTGAGCTCTTCAGCTCAAGCCCATCATTTGAGCCACAGCGCCACTTCCACCCTTTTCTGTTTATGTGGTGCTGAGGAATCGAACCCAGGGCTTCATGCATGCAAGGCGAGCATTCTACCTCTGAGCCACCTTCCCCAGCCCTCAATTTTAACTTTTATGCTTACTTTTTGCATCTCTATCATGACAAGTAAAGGCACATAAAAAGAAATATACCCCAAAATGTAAGAAGTATAAATGGTCAGACTATATATAATACCACACCATGTACTCTGCACTTTCATACATCACCTTATTCAGTCAACCAGCAACCTCTGTCAAAAAATAAAATCTCGTTGGATGCCCAGTGGCTCATATCTATAATCCTAGCTACTCAGGAGGCTGAGCTCCATGAAATTCTTATCTCCAATCATCTATTCAAAAACGCCAGAAGTAGCGCTGTGGCTCAAGTGGTAGAGCACTTGCCTTGAGCCAAAGAAGCTCAGAGATAGCGTGTGTAGGCCCCAAATTCAAACCACAGGATCAGCAAAAAATAAAATTTCTACCAGAGAGGCAAATAGGCATTAGAAAAACCTGGCTAGAACATAAGTTTCCTGAAAATCAGAGCTATATCTTAGACTGTGAAGCTGTGTCTTAGAACCCAAGGAATGAACTTTTTGTAGTAATAGTAGTAGTAGTATACCACCACACTCAGCTTCTTCATTGAGAATGGGGTATCATATATCTTTCTCCCCAATATGAGCCTGTCACTTAACTATAATAACAGAAATGTGCCACGATGTTTAAATATTAGTTGGAAAGGTTATCACTTGGGAAGAGGTCTCTAGAACTTTTCCACCTAAGCTGACCTCAACCCATCATCCTCTTGATGTCAACCTTCCAGTAACTAGGACTACAAGCATGAGCCACTTGCACCTGGCTAATTAAGTTATATCCTTGGCCTGTTAATACTGTTGGGCCTATTTGTACTGAAAAGAAATTAGCAGGATATAGTGTATTAAATACTTTATTGAAGGTCTTTGGAATGAAAATGTAATCAAATTAGCTATCATTTATTTGGCATCTACCAGTGTCAGACAATATCTGTACTAAGAAGGAATTTATAATAGAAAGTATTTATTTAAATTACCAGGTAAACACATAAAGGTAACTGATAAGTCAAGAGGAAATATGGAAAATAATGTTGCATGTATATTACAGAATGTAGGGGTATATTCATAGATATTAACAGGCCCTTCAAGCCTTAGGAGTCAACAAGGGCTTGAAGGAAGAGAATCATTCAGTGTAAGTCATCATTTGAAATGTGGCAAAAGTCATGAAAAATATTCAGGAGAAAATGAGTAGATGAATTGTATTGAAGCATATGGTTTTTGTGATGAGTCTTTTGCTAGTGTAGAATGTATTTTGGAAAAAGTCAACTTAGACCAGTTGGCAGGTATTACACAGTTCTTAGGAAGGACTAGCAGTTTGGGTGACAGGAACTGTTGTAAGCATTGAAGTGTTAAACTCGAAAGCACTATTGCTAGTCCCCAATTACAAATAAGGAAACTGAAACACAAGAAAACTACCCACCCCAGTTACATAATCAGTGACACAGAAATTCTCTTTTTAGTTAATCTCATAGGTAATTTGAATATAAGTTATGGTCTGGCTCAGAATTAGAAATGAGAAATACAGGTAGAATTCATGCAGGTCACTGCATGTATAAGGTAAGTGGTAAGTGTCAAGGATGGGCCAAGTTAATTTAGATATGATTGATAACAAAATCAAAGTAGAAAAACCTGTTTGATTTTTCAGTTTTGCTTATAGAAATTTATCCTAAGAATATTACCACATAAAAATAAAAAAGAGGAAAAAAATAGCTGGTGCGGGTGGCTCATACCTGTAATCCTAACTACTCAGGAGGCTGAGATCTGAGGATCAAGGTTTGAAGCCAGTTCAAGCAGAACAGTTTGTAAGACACTTGTCTTAAAAAAAAAAACACTGAAGACAAAACAAAAAAAGCCAGAAGTAGAGCTATGGGCCAACTAGAAGAGTGCTAACCTTGAGCACAAAAGCTCAGGGACAATGTCCAAGGCCTGAGTTCCAGCCTCATAACTAGCACAAAACAAAGGGGAGGCAGTAGGGGGAGGAGGGGAAGAACACCTTTAAAAAGTTACAAGAATATTACGATGTTTATGAGAAAATAAACACAACTTGAATGCTATTACCAAATGTTAACAACTGATTATATCTGAGTATTTGGCCTATCTCATGAAAAAATTTTTAAAAGATGATTGTTGCTTTGTAAATTTTCTTTAGTAAATAAGTATTTTGCAGTGGGTGGTTTGCTTGCTTGCTTATTTGAAGATGTATCTTATTGTGTACCCCAGAATGGCCTTGCTTGATCAGGGTACTCCTGCCTCAGCCTTTCAAGTGCAGGGTTACAGGAGTAGACCCATCATGCTCAGCTTGTATTATTTATGTAGTGATATTTTCTTTATTTCTAAGAGGAAATGCTAGTTTGAGATAAGATTATTTTAGGATTTATTTACTAAGTCAGTCCATTCATCGAGTGCCTTCAATATGATGAGCAGAAGATGCTAAATTTGGATCTGGCTAAGTGTCAAGATGGAATAATGAATATTAAGGTCACTGTCTTACAGAAATATTAGACCATCAGCACTCATGGTTTGGGGAAAGAACTACATAAGTATGCTTGTTAGAATCTGGAAGGCACAACATTAATCTCAGAAGCCTTCAGGTTAGCCTTAATTTGCAAAATTGACAGGGATTCATACTAGGGGAGCCAGTGGTAGAATTTCAATAGCTGACATCCAGATTTAGTTCAAAACAGGAAGGAGAGCTTCATTCAGAAGTCATCTGAGCAGTGGTAGTACTTGAGCTTTGAAGCTGTATAAAACCTCTAAAAATAGAGTATCTTCAGAAAGATTTCCAATGAAACTAGACAAGTAAAAGGAATCAGAATATTACATCAGGGAAGCCCAGGAAAGCAGAGATGTGAGTGGACACTGGTATCAACAGCTGCAGAGAGACACTCATTTTGCGTGTATTTTTACCCTGCTTTTATGTTTTTGACATTTAAAGTTATTTCATAGTTTATGTATAGTTTTATATACTAGCTTTTCAGTAAGTGAATAAATGTGATTTACTTACATTTTTTTTCTTTTGGATATTTGGATTTTCCCTTTTTTAAAGAAGCAAATTCACTTATAAAGGGTTCAGGAAGAATAGCATATGAGAAAATGAATGCAAGTATAAAATAAAAGTATTCATTTAGAAAGTTAGTAGTGAAGCTAAGTATTATGGCTCATGTCTGCAATCCTAGCAACTCATGAAGCTAAGTTATGAAGATTGAGGTTAGAAGCCAGCCTAAGCAGAAAAGTATCTGAGACTTATCTCTTGTTAACCACCAAAAAGCCAGAAGTGGAGCTGTGGCTAAGTGGTAGAGTGCTAGCCTTGAGCAAAAAAGCTAAGGAACAGTTAGGAGGCCATGAGTTCCAGCTCTAGTACTGATACCAAAAAAGGGGGGGGGTCCCCTCAGAAAGTTGCTAGTGAGTATACTAAAGTGAAACAAAGAGGAATTAATTATTCATCCATTTTCTGGGCACTTAGGTCCAGGACTGATAATGAAAAGGAAGGAATGATAGGGGTTTTAATATTAATTCAGGAGTGTTTTTTTTTTTATGACAATGAAAACTTACATTTATCTGGTTATAGGAGATTGTTGTTTTTTAACTCCTGACATTAAACATTTTAATTAAATCTATATTATCACCACAGAAATGGAACAGATGTTTATTATGAGCATTATTTCCTAATTACTAAAATACATATACTCTCATACTTTCACTTTTACCAGTAAGAGGTAACTTACCTTCATTGATGAAAGTTACAGGTGGTATCTTGAAAGGGCTTTTGGTGGGAGAAGTTGCCAGGTCAGGTGGTGGCATTAAGTCTCTGGGATAACCTGGGTCCCTCTGTATTTCATTGCCTCCCAACAGACCAGGAGTGTAGTGATGACTGGTAGGTATGTGTTGTGGCACTACCTGGACAAGAGGGGGAGACGCATGGGTGTCCTGTCGGGAAAATATCCTCATGCACTGCTCCTCCAGCAGAGTGATCATCACAGACTGGTTATTGACAAGATGAGTCAAGGAGGCATATTTGACTTCTAATTCCCTGTACCTTGTTGCCATCTTCAGCATTTCTGTGGTGACATTGAGGATTTTATTTTCCAGTTGGGAAAGTTCAAGTGAATTGTCCCTCTTACGGATAATCTCATGTAATAGTTGCATATAGAGTTGGGTAACCCGAGAGTTCATGTTACGACTTTCTTTTCTCAGAAGCTTTACCTCATTGACAATGTTTCCATCTACATCCACCACCAGTTGCAAAACATCTATCTCTCGCTTCTGCCTGGAGAGCACATCCTTCAGGTTTTCAAGATCCATCCTGGTGATCATGTCTTTAATGGTACCTGAATCTTGCCCTTTGGTATTGACACAAATTGGTCCTGTTATTTTTTGTTCAGGTACCAGGAATGTGTATGCACATTTCTTTGCTTCCTCTTTACCATCTGTGGCACGAGGGTATCTCCTCTGGGTTATTTTTTTAATTTTGAACTGTCCTCCTCTGCAATGTCCAGTGCCCATTAGAAGGAAGAATAGTACACCTAGGGTCCAAATAAAAGCCTTCATTTCGAAATGAAGTTGTATAACGATGTCTTTTGAAAAGCAAATCAATGAAGGGAAAAGATTAAAAAAGAATTTATATTAATCTACATTTAAGTCGGTAATAGAAAAGCATCAAAGGGAAAACAAGTATTTAATAGATGTTAATAAATTAGAATTTATTGATTTCTTAATATTAAGTTATAGTACTTTTAACAGCTGTTCAAAGATCAGATTTCAGAGAATAGTTCTGCCAGTTACCATCTTACAATTAATGCTTTTTGTTTCCAATTTCATTGAGCAGATTTTTTTCATACCCATCCTATGCAAAGGCACACTGCCAGGTACTTTTGAAACCTAATAAAATACCTTTATTTAGAAAGCTCACTTTAGACTATCTCTTATGGCTATAAAAATGGTACACAATGTTTATAAGGTATTAATTAAAACATTCTTGCCAAACTAGCATTTCAGTTACCAGGTAGCTTTACTAGCCAATGTTTTAGGTTTCTACCATGAAGTATCAAATAAATTAGTCCTCTGGAAAAAAATTATGTGTTTTCTACATATGAAAATAAATAGACAAATATGAAATCCATCTTAAAAATTTTTGTTTTTGTAGTATCTGCTTTGAGACAGACAACAGGTTTAAGAACGATAGAATCAATGCTTTCAGTCATTATTGTGGGTAATTGTGTTTCCTGAGCTATAATCATATATATACTTTAAGCTTATAGATGATTTAGTAGATGTATTCTATTGAGAGGTTCAGAGTTGTATTATATTGTAAAATATTAATAACTTTGCACAGGTATTATCGAATAATACATACACCCATGTGCGTGTTTCTAATATTAGAAACAGGTTCAGAACTAAGTTTCCCTGGCCTTCAGTATTTATAGCAGCAGCACATTTGCCAAATGTATACTTGGAATGTTTTATGTTCAGTGTAGAGGATGAAAAATGCTTGTATTTTATAGTCTTAATTCTTCTGAGGAAACACTGGAACTAGTTCCAAGAGCTAAGAGTAGGAACAATAGATGGGGAAGCTGGGTTTCTTCACTCAGGATTGTACGCAACTGCTGTATTATATCAACTCCTCAACTCTTATAAACTTGATTCTATTTACTGTGGGGTTTTTTTTGGTGTGTGTGTGTGTGTGTGTACTCTGGCCTGGTTTCTGTCCCTCAGCTCTTCAGCTCTACCACTTGAGCCACAGTGCCACTTCCAGTTTTCTGGTGGTTTATTGGAGATAAGAGTCTCAACAGACTTTTCCTGCCCAGGCTGGCTTTGAGATCTGATCCTCAGATCTCAGCCTCCTGAGTAGCTAGGATTACAGGCTTGAGCCACTAGCACCCAGCTGCTATCTACTGTTTTTAAGGATGGTAGTGAATACTAAGAGCTTTTTCATCTACTTTTTTTTTTTGGGGGGGGGGGGGGGAGGGCAGTCATGGGGCTTGAACTCAGGGCCTGAGCAATGTCCCTGAGCCTCTCTGTGCTCAAGGCTAGCATTCTACCACTTGAGCCACAACCACTTCCAGCCTTTTCTGTTTATGTGGTACTGAGGAATCGAACCCAGGGCTTCATGCATGCCAGGCAAGCACTCTACCACTAAGTCACATTCTCAGCCCTTATCTACTTTTCTTCCTGACTACTTGTTTCTTAATTTGGAAAGTCAATTCCAAGTTATTCATGACCACATAACAGGAACATTAATCCATAGCTGTTGGGTGCTTCTCAGTTCCAACTCTATTAATAGCTCTTTACATGTATTAAAATTATTGACTTCTCACCACAACTCTGTGAAGTAGATAATTATAGTTGCTATTTTCTGATGGGGAAGTGAAGTACCTTATCAATAATCACACAGCTTTTGAGCAGTAGAGCCAGACTTTGAACCTATAGAGAAATCTCCAAAGTTGATTTTTTTGATCTGTCGTGGGGCTTGAACTCTGGGCCTAAGCACTGTCACTCAGTTTAAGGCTAGCACTCTTCCACTTGAGCCATAGTACCACTTCCAGTTTTCTGAGTGGTTTATTGGAGATAAGAGACGGGCTTTCCAGCCCTGGCTCACTTTGAACTATGATCCTCAGATCTCAGCCTCCTGAGTAACTAGGATTACAGGCATGAGCCACCAGCACCCGGCTCCAAAGTTGATACTTTTTTCAAGCACTACCTATGTGTCACCATAGTCTAAGATACTGTCTTTCAAGAGTATCATAACAATCCCTGGCATTTATGAAGTGCTTAAGACATTTTAACTGTTGGCATTCATAATAATATAAAATAAATTCTGTATCATTTTACAAAAGAATAATAAAGTCTTAGATTAAAACATGCATAGCATTAAAAGTTTCTATTCCTGCCTTTTCTAGACCTCTCATTCTTATTCTAGTTATGCCATTACTACACAGGAATCTTCTTGTGTTTTTCTTGCTTGTTGTAATCTTTTTCTGGCTTGCGCCTATTTTTGTTGATCCATTACTTAATTATACAAAGTACTTGGAAGACATTTTTGTTAGATTTTGTTTCCATCAATTCTATAACCCGTTGTTTCTTTTTTTCTTTTTTACTATCATTCCTTTCCCTTCATCTGTATTCTATCAGCTCATGTTTGTATGATCTAATTTGCTTTATCAGTGAGTCAATATATATATATTTTTGGGGGTCCGTTCGTGGGGCCTGAACTCTGGGCCTGGGTGCTGTCCCTCAGCTCTTCAGCTCAAGGCTAGCACTCTACCACTTGAGCCACAGCGCCACTTCCAGCTTTTTTTTCTTTTTGCTTATGTGGTGCTGAGGAATCAAACCCAGGGCCTCATGCATGCAAGGCAAGCGCTCTACCACTGAGCCACCTTCCCAGCCCTGAATCAATATTTTTAACTGTAATTGTAAAGACTGTTGCTACTTGCTTTGTCAAAAAGCACATTTTATTTTTTGGTGTTTTCAGTTGAGTAGTATGTTCAGAATGGATTGAGAATGAAAGTAGAGAATGGAATGAATATGGAGAATTATTTTTCTTTTATTCAACCGAGACAGGGAGGCTGAAGATAATATAACATTTATATCATAGCCTTCTATTGTTGACTGATAACCAAAAGCTTTCTTTAAAACTGCTTTTAACTTTCAATATTTTTATACTTGGCCATTTTAAAGACATAATTCTGGTTTGTTAAAGAGCTGTTTTATTATGCAAGAGTTGCTTAGACTAAAACAAAATTGGTAAAAGATTTCTTGCTATAACTAGATTCGTGGAATTTAGCTGTAGTTTATATTTTTTAAAAAACACTGAGGACAGTAAAAAAGCTAGCAGCCTCCTGGGTTAAATGTATACTATTTTTCCTACATATTTAACTTAGCACTGAAATCCATGTATTTTAATTTTAATAATAGAATGGAAATTCTTGATCACGAAATTATTTAAATAATTTCTTCAATAAAACAGACTACCAAAACAAAGAAAGTTCAGAAAGTTTCATGGAACTAAAAGAATGATACCCAGCGTGTATTAATGTTAGACACAAATTTTAAGGAACAGCTAAGGATTATTGTCCAAGACTGCATCAGTGTCATTGGAAAACAACAAAATCAAAATGCTAATCTTGATTAAAATTAAAGAATTTATTTTGTATATTGCTTTAGATCATTATGGTTCCTGTAAAATTAAGTCCTAAGAAGTTAGTATGTAAAGTAGGAAACTAAACATTGTTTCTTATTTTTAAATAAGTACCTTTATCTTTTCAAAAATATTTTGATTCTTAAAGCATAGCAAAAGAGCCACATTGCTTAAGTAGTAGACTAGCTACGTCATTAGTAAAGAACTTTTTAAATGTACTATTACATTTTCTAAAAATAATTCTTATTTAATATTTTTCCACATATGTTCAGTTTTAAAAGTGAAAGACCCATAAATCTGTGTTACCTCATAAAACCTTCCTGTATATGTTAAATTTTTCCTAGGTCCCAAGAGAATGTCATAAATTAGTTACCGTATACTTAAGTTTAAATCTGTGTCTTTTCTTGGCTGGTTTTAGGAAAGGGAAAAAAAAGCACTATACATTTGGATTAATTTTCTTAGTACTCTTTCTTTTCATAGTTGCCACATTGCCAGCTGTTAGAGAAAATAAAAGCCAGAATTCTACTTCCCTTCAGATGGTAAACTCATAGAGTTATTTAATTGGCTGTGTCATGCTCTGAAAACAGCATGAGGCCGTGAGGTTAAATTCACTGAAGTTATGTTAGATGAAGAACTTATAGATTGTGAATTGTGCTGTAGGCAGAGATTGGAGAACAGTTTCATCCTCTGGATACATTTCAGAAAGGAGTTAATTATTATTTGTATTGTTAGGTTTCAGGTTGATATTTGGCTAAGGCAATGTGAAGAACTGAAGTTTATGTGAGTTCTTAAACTTTTCATAGCAAGAACAGGCAGGGAAAGTGACCATTATTTTGTGTCTTGTATGGCTTCGGTATTTTATCAAAATCCTTTGTAAAATAGTGCTTAACAGAACTATTCCCAATGTTTAAGAGTTTTAAATCTAAGCAAAGAATATGAAAACAGAATTTTAAAAAATGTAACATGATTACTTGTTTGCTAAAAATTCTTATTGTTAAAAGGTCAGTGTTTTCAAATCATAACAAACTGAATGAAGTGTTTAGTACTGATAACTAATTTTATATTTTTAACAATTCTTATAATAAAGCCCCCAGATAGAATATTAATAGACAATTCTTTTGTATGGTTACCAGAATTACTTCTATCTAAAAGTAGTTATTAACTTTATATCATCATAAGTAATTATATATTCTGGCTTCATATTTTCTATTGTTAATGCTGAATACTTAACCTAACTTTTCATCAGTTCCAACTTTTAAGGTTGAGATTTTTGTAGGTGTATAATAAACTTTTCCAAGTAATTACAGTTTTGATACTCAAATTACTATTACATGTAAACTTCAACATCTTTAAAATTCTGGATTATTGCAAGAAAAACCATAGATTTATCTTAAATCTGATTAAGAATTTGGCTTAGTTTTTGGTATGTTATAACTGAAGTTTATGCAACCCCTTTTAGTTATTTTTATATCTTTTTAGCTTTGTTTTGTAACTGTACTTTGAGGTCCAACTGTTTAAGTAATTATAAGAAAAACTAATCATGTTTACAGCTATTTTATTTAGTTTATATCACTTTGTTGTTCATTCTTATGTTAACTCTTCAATATATAATCTGTTACTAATTAAAAATTTTTTCTAGTGTCACTAGACCATTTGTTTAGAAACCCAGCATATATATATATATATATATATATATATATGTTTATAATGATATACGAGATTGAACATCAGATAATCCATTAACCATCATAACTAAGACTTACATGAAATTGAAAAACAAGGCTTTTTAAAAATAAGATAAATTATAAAATATTTTAAAGTTCTTTAATAGATTTTGAAGTTACTACAAACAATAATTTTCATTTTAATACATACACATAGAGTATTTGGAATAAAAATAAAAGAAATATTAAAATACCTTTTTATGTTGTTGATAAATTGAATCCAGAAAGTTGCTGCCCTTTTTCTTGATTTTAAAAAATCAGTGTAGACGTTGGTTCATCTCTGACTTCAATGGCAACTGCATTTTTTTTTGGTGAGGATTGTTGAATCCAACCACTAATATGGACCTTTTCTTTTTATAATACTAATTGATTGAATTTGACAAGCCACCTATGTAACTTTTAAGTAGTGTAGTGAAGTTCTGGTCTGTGGGCTGTCTCTAATCCAGCAGTGAAAGCATTGTGGCTGCGCTCTGTCTGCCACATGGAGAAGAAGTGCAGTAACCAGCTGCAGCTGACACGAGCTGCATACACAGTACCCTTGAATACTGATTCCCTCTTTTTCCTGGTAGGCTGAAGTTCAGCCCACATATTACGTCATCAAAAATTTGCTGGAGACTAGCAGGGGAAATCTCCTCCTTAGGATTTCCTCTCTGTAGCTTTAAATAGGGTGGGGGTAGTGGGATCAGCGGGAGATTGAGTAGCTCTGAACAAGGGGAGATTGTGTGTAGGTTGAAGGAAGGGCACCATCTGGAAACAGACTATCATAGTTTAGCAGGGCAATTATAAAACAAACATTTTAGTCTGTTGGCTAGAGAGCTTTTAAATTGAATACTGGGGAAAACAGTTCTTGACTTTATTTTAGAAGTAATTGCAAGCTGATGAGTTTTTTGTTGGGATGAAAAAGAACTAGATTTGTCAAGAGGCAGCCACCTAAACAATTCTTTATAGACCAGAAAAGGTTTTAAACATTTTACTTCCTGAGTTGGTATTTCAGAAGATTTTAAACTTAGAAGAAAGTTGTTGGTATATCTTATCTTATTATGTAATGTTTCTTCAGCTAAAACTGCTTTTATATATACAAATGGATCCCTCTTGTCTAAATATGGTCATTCTTGTTATTACTTGATATGTTGTGATTTGAAAACAGATGAACCCTGAAGGGAACAAAAAACCAGAGGTCCCATTAACTGTACTTACACAAATCTTCACCCTTTTCTGGCTGGGTTTCTTCTGCTATATAAATATAATTCTAGAGAGGGACCAAGTATTGAATACCAACTATGCTTTTACATTTCATCAAATCAAGAAATATTAATTCAGTGGAATATGAGGAAACCGTAACTTGGCTTTGATAAGTAGTACAATTAAGATTCAAACCTCAAACTATTCTGTCATTTCATTGGGTTACATACTTGCTGAATGCTGCTTCCAGGTACAATTTTGGACTTCTACTTCTGATAGACACCAGAGCTTTCCTCTTGCATTAGTTTGTGTTTTTCTCATAGATGCCATCGATTCATATACTTTATTTAAAGTTTTTTTTTGCGGGGGGGTCTGGTCGTGGGCCTGAACTCTGGGCCTGGGTGCTGTCCTTCAGCTCTCAGCTCAAGGCTAGCTCTCTACCACTTAAGCCACAGCGCCACTTCCAGCTTTTTTTCTTTTTTCCTGCTTATGTGGTGCTGAGGAATCAAACCCAGGGCCTCATGCATGCCAGGCAAGCACTCTACCACTGAGCCACCTTCCCAGCCCCTTTATTTAAAGTTTTGAGCTTAATTTCTACCTTTATCATAGAATTGTTTTCTTAAATTCCTATATCATACATTTTAAAAGTAGGCCTGTAAAAGTAAATACACAAAATAAGAATGAAGCCGCTTATATGAATAAGTGAAATAGACCAAAAGGTAACAGGAAGATGAAGGTTATAATGACTGGCATTGTAATGGTTTATTTTTTAAGGAATCACCTGTTCTGGGGGTTCCTCATTATGAACGTGAAGGATTAGAAGACAGTTTTATAAGTTACTCCCATTTCTCAAAAAAAAAAAAAAATGGTCATTTGGACTTTTCCTATGCTCTTTTCCTGATTTTAAAAGTATTGGAACAGATGGGCAGCCAGCCTCTAACCTCTGATAGAATATATTGTTCATCATTCAGTGATTGTTTTTATTCACCAGTTTAATTTGGGTAAAAGATGAGGTAGTAAATACCTTTTTAATTTGGGCACTTTGGGGGCTTTCTAACTTAAGCAGTGAGTACTGTGAATAACCAACATAGGAAATTGGAATGGCAGATATTTCAGAATAAATGATGATTGGTTTAGCTTGTTAATTTGAAAATGAAATCTGGCAACTCAGTTTTACACAGAGATTTAAAAGATCAGAGATGACAAGTTAGGTAGTAGCTGAAGCTACAGAACCAAGATTTTGTAGAGAGATTACAAGTTAACTGTGCAGATATAATGACAGACCATGGAAAATCAGGACAGAGAAGAATCAAAGGACTAAAAGGTTATGGAAGTTCAATCTGTAAAAACCAAGAAGGGAATGATTAAAATACTATTGAGAGACTTAGAGGAGAACAAGAATGTTTAAAGATTTATAATGAGAAGGTCATCAATGCCTATGCGAGAGTAAGATTAACTATCATAATAAAGAGATCAGAGTGTTTTGTGAATGAAAGAGTGACTAGATAAAACATAACAAGTCAGTCAGTGTGCACAGTATGTTCAAAAGAAATTAGATTCCCATTTCCTGCATGGGAACAGAAATATTCACTATCTTTCTCCACTATTTCCTGTTGTACTGCAATAAATCCTTGTATCTTAAACAAAATAGAACTAATAACAAGAAAACAAGAATGGGCAAAAAGTGGAATGTCACTAATCATGGAATGAAAATTGATATGAAGATATATCATTTTAAACAACATTTATTTCCTAAAAGTAAGATTAATGATAAGAAGATAGCACAAAAATATTTTTCTGTTGAAATTTATATACTGGCAAAAGGAGTGTTGAGTTGGCACTATTGAACATAAATTATTAGAACCTTACCAGTTTGGTCTCAGGAATGAATTTGGGTGTGGAAAGGTGGGTATCCTCTAGAAATTCTGTCTGTGGCTGTGGGTTTGGGTTTGGGCCTGGGTTTGGGTTTAGGTGGGTGGGTGGTAGGAAACATACACAAGAAATGTCTGTAGAACATGGAGGGATAAAGGAAGCAACTTCAAAATCTATCACGTAAAATGAGTAAATTGTGGTATAGTCACAGATTGATTTATTTTAAGGAATTACAAATGCCTTTAACCACAGAAACAAGTAACAAAACATGACTAACATTCAAAAAGCATCATCCTTTAAAAAAAAATCTAGTGAATGCTCATGTTACCTAGAATACAGCAGGCATTTTTCTAAAATTCTACCTACCTAAAATGTAATTATCTTTGTTGTCGTTTTGCTGATACTAAGGTTTGAATTCTTTTGCTTAACTTCCTTGTTGGCAAACTACCACTTGAGCCATGCTTCCAGGATGGCTTTTTGCTAGTTAATTGGAGATGCAGTCTTTTACACTTTTATGCCAATTCTGGCTTCAAACTGTGGTCCTAGGTACCCAGTTTGAGTCCCAGTCTTGGACCAGTCCCCCACACACACCCAAAAAAGAAAAAAGAAAGAAAGAAAAAACCAGCAGTAAGCAAAAGTAAATAATGCATTGTGGAAGGATACAGATATGCCTTGGAAAAAATAAGAATATTCTTAAAATTTAGAACAGTAATGGAGGTAGGGAGGGATATAACAGTACTGGTGATGTTACAAGTTGGGGTGGGGGGTTAAGTTTTTTTTTTTGTTTTGTTTTGTTTTGTTTTTAATTGGAAGTGTTGGTGATTAAAATCAGGTCCTCCCATTTGCAATGCCTCTAGACTTTTTTTTTTTTCATTTTGTTATCAATACTGCTTTTACCCAGCCAGCTTTGGAATGTAGTACTTCTGTGTCTTCCTATCAGTTAGCTGGAGTTATAGGTGTCTACCAATACAGCCTGCTTGTTTTTAAGAGAGTCTTTATAACTTGTACTGGGTTGGCCTCAATCCTTGATGATGTGCTATCTCCAACTCCTGTGTAGCTGTGATTTACAGGCATAGACCAAAACATCTAGTTGTAATTCATTTTTAAAAGTCAAATTTTATTTAAACACATTACCAATTGTGAGTTAATATATTCAAAATACTTAGTTGTCACATATGGCAGTGACTGTCATATTGGACAGCACTGTTATAGAGAGTGAGTATTAACAGCTTGGATTTAATGATAAGGTAGAAGAATGGCATGTATTGACACACTGAATGAAAGCTTAAATCCCATTCTGCATCAGATTCTTCCATAGTCTCATCAACAGGGAATGATATTTTCATGCACAGAATCTTTGTGAAACTTCGATGCCACTTTTCTTTTTTCTTTTTCTTTTTCTTTTTTTTTTTTGTCCAAGACCAGGGTTTGAGCTCAGTATCTGTTTTTGCTCATTGGCTGGCACTTTACCATCTGAATCACACTTCCAACCCATGAAATCACTTTTAACACATCTTTTGTTGATGTACATGTGCAATGTACCTCAAGGAACCTCTTAGGTCTACTTAGAAACCTCTTAGGTCTACTTAGGGATGCGTCAATCCTTAAATTGTCCAGTCTTTCACAAAAATTGACAGATATTGCATTAGCTAAAGGATAATGTATGCTTTTCAATAAAATCAATACATGTCAATTTTTATTTAAATCATGAAATTTACAAGGGAGATAAAACCATTTCTAGAGATCATTTATAATAATAATACACATATAAGTAGTTAAGTTTTAGTGAACTTACAGTAGACCAGATACAAAATTGGTCAACATCTATGTGCCAATAGGCAGTAGACATGTATAATTCATTGGCAGGGTTTCGGTCAGTGAGTAATAATAGTTAATAATTTGTATCATTACTGTCTTCACCAAGTTGCAAAATAAGGAAACACTGAAGACGCCCATTTTAAAGTCTTTCACAATTTTTCCTGACCCATATGGAGTTTATGTATGTCAGATATTATATTAAAAGTACAGTGTAATAAGCATACCACTCCATGTTTCTCTTTCAAGGTGTTTGTTGAAGGGAGATCACAAGGGTCTTTAGAAGGGGATCAGAATTGAAAGAAGAATTGCTTTGACTCTAAAATAGGATGATTTGATGGGAGTATTGACTATGGGGCTGAATGGTAGAAAAGACTACATGATACGTTTGGAAAAAAGCAATAGCAATTACACCGCAAATCACAATATGTACTTGAAGAGAGAGAAAGGTTCATTTCTAAGATTAGAAGTGGGAAAGACTTTGGCTCTTGGTTCATTTGAAGATAGGGAGAAATAGATATTTAGGATCTATGGCTTAAGAATGCTGTACTTAGTAAAAAGAAATACTACTATAGGATGAGTTAAAGGATTGCCATGGTAACCTTTTATATTGTATTAAGTGCCACTTGTTTTAAAGATATAATACACAAGATTTTCTTCAAGTACAAAGCAGAGCAACTGCCATAAATGAGCTTCTAGATTGAACATGTGAAATGTTATAAGAAAATTTAAGGGCTGGGAAGGTGGCTCAGTAGTAGAGCGCTTGCCTTGCATGCTCAAGGCCCTGGGTTCGATTCCTCAGCACCACATAAGCAAAAAGAAAAAAGCCGGAAGTGGCGCTGTGGCTCAAGTGGTAGAGCACTAGCCTTGAGCTGAAGAGCTGAGGGACAGCGCCCAGGCCCAGAGTTCAGGCCCCACGACCGGACCCCCAAAAAAAAAAAAAAAAGAAAAAGAAAATTTAAATAGACAGTATAAGATCATAAAAGTGAATGTTACAGATAATATGTATGCTTATAATGTAATTTTATTTTAAACCTAGGCTACAAGTGTATCTAGGAATACAGGATGATCTACTGCATCCTGACAGGTTACATGGCATTAGACACATGCTTAAAATATCTGTAGATTTTAGGTTCCTCATCTATAAAATGTTTCTTTGTCTGTCTGTCTCTCAGTATGAACTTGGTTTTGAGCTTGCTAGACAAGACTCTACTGCTTGAGCCATGCCTCCCTTTATACTAGACAATTTCTAAATTCCTGTCTTAGAATTTATAAGAAAAGTAGAAAATAGTAGACACTAAACTGTCTATGTAAGGTCCTGGATTTGAATGGATGTAGATGTGTCTAGAAAACACTCGAGGGAGAAAATGGCAAACATAAAACATGGGTTTATGGATGTGTACTTTCAGTTTCACTTACAGAGAGCTCATGGGAGTAGAATAATAAGGGAAAAGTACAGAAGTATATAAGTTTTTCTCTAACTATAGTGCTTTCATACATTTTACAAGTGCATATAGTGAAACCTTAGATAATATTTTTAAATGAGTGACCTCATGTTCAAGACTAGCACAGCCAAATTATTTTGGGTCATCTGTATAGGTACCAAGAACATACAAAGGTTGGAAAGGTTAACTTCAACTTGTAGTCATATTAATGATTTCAGAAATCCAATTGTGTATCTTTAAGTTGTATGCTATTGCTACCAGATGAAGACAATTTTCAAAGTAGTTAAGACTTAAATGTCATAATAATCCTCCATCCAAGGGTATATAACTAAATTACTTCCCCTTGCTAGGCTGCTTAACTTATTCCATTTAGGTGATGGTTGAATAGATGTAAACAGATTGAGAGATTAAAATGACTGTCTCTACCAAAATAACAAAGGTAGAACTAGTTCAGTGATTCAGTTTCTTTCCATTAAGTCCCATATGTGCTAAGGTTATTCTAATTGCAGCTAAAAATATAAGAATTTATTAGGCACGTTGTTTATAAATATGAACCTAACTCTGGAAATCTAAGCCCTGATTGGTCATATTAATATGTTAATAACTGTATTCTTTTATGGCATGTTTTAAAATATATGTATAAATGAGTTTTCTCTCCCTGATTCGCTTACAAGTAAGAAACATCTAATTTTGTTTCAGGTATCTATTTATCAGATTTAACGTACATTGATTCAGCATACCCATCAACTGGCAGCATTCTAGAAAATGAGCAGAGATCAAATTTAATGAATAACATCCTTCGAATAATTTCTGATTTACAGCAATCCTGTGAATATGGTAAGTTTCTGGGAGATGATGCTAAGCTATTATGCTATGAATTTCATGATAAATCTCATTGGCCACTTTTCATACTGCAGAGAATATAACTTTCTTATTTCAGCATGTACTGGTTAGTTTTCCTTCTCTTTTTTCTGGTTGTTGTTTTTTTATGTTGAGCAGTTGACTTCTAACTCCTAGGTGCAAGTGATCTTTTTGCTTCAGCTTCCTGAGTAATGCAAGCATCACTGTGCCTTGCATAAAGTGCTTTTTAGGCTGTTCTTAAGGACTGAAATGTTTTATATTTAAATTTTGATGTTGAAAAATACTGAATTCATATTATCTAAAATATTTCAAGCTAACTTTGCACATGTACATCTGTACTTGTAAGAAACTTATTTAAAGTGTGGAAGAGATGATAGACTCTTACTGAAAGTTAAAAATTCTTTTATTCTGCCTTGTTTTGTGTGTGCCAGACCTGTGACTTGAATTCAGGGCCTGGATAGTATCCTTAAGTTTTTTTGTTCAAGGCCAGTGCTCTAACCACTTGAGTCACAGCTCCACTTCTATTTTTAGGTGGTTAATTGGAAATAAGTCTCCAGAAGTTTCTTTTCTTTCTTTCTTTCTTTTTTTTTTGTTCGTGGGGCCTGAACTCTGGGTTTGGATGCTGTCGCTCAGCTTTTCAGCTCAAAGCTAGCGCTCTACCACTTGAGTCACAGTGCCACTTCCAGCTTTTTCTGCTTATGTGGTGCTGCGGAATCGAACTCGGGCCTCATGTATTCAAGGCAAGCACTCTATCATTGAGCCAACTTCCCAGCCCTACAGGAGTTTCTTTTCCGGGCCAACTTCAAATCACAATAGTCAGAAGTAAGCCTCCTGAGTAGCTAGGATTATAGCTCCTGCCTTATTCCAATGCCAGTTTCCATGTTAACTTAAATCTTTTTTGAAATTCATAATGAGTAGTGACCCACAGAGCTGGAAAACAAGTTGTTTAAAAGAAAAATTAAGCCAGGTACTGGTGGCCTATAATCCTAGCCACTCAGGAGGCTAAGATATGAAGATCATGGTTCAAAGCCAGCCAGAGCAGGAAAGTCTGAGAAACTTTTTTTTGGCTGGTCTTGGAGCCTGAACTCTGGGCCTGGGCACTGTCCCTCAGCTCTAGTGCTCTACCACTTGAGCCACAGCACCACTTCTGGCCTTTTCTGCTTATGTGGTGCTGAGGAATCGAACCTGGGGCCTCATGTATGCAAGGCAAACACTCTACCACTGAGCCAATTTTCCAGCCCGTCTGTGAAACTCTTATTTCCAATTAACCACCAGAAAATCAGAAGTGGTGCTGTGGCTTAGATCGGGTAGAGTACTAGCCTTGAACAGAAAGAGCTCAGGGAGAGTGCCCAAGCCCTAAGTTCAAGCCCCACAACTGATCAAAAAAGAAAAATTAAGTGCCTTCACTTATTATACAGATTTTATGCTTAAGTATAATCATATTGAAGTCTCTGATTTTTTTTTTTACATCATGGAAAATTGGGAAGTCGCTGATTTTTTTTACTATGAAATTTCTTAAATATGTGGAACTTCCTAATTGGAGTCCTTTAAGAAAAAGTCTGTCTTTTAAATTTCTGGTTAAGATACACTTTATTGGATAATTACTTATCACATTTTGCCTAGATATTCCAATGTTGCCTCATGTCCAAAAATACCTGAACTCGGTCCAATACATAGAAGAACTACAAAAGTTTGTGGAAGACGATAATTACAAGTAGGTTGGATCTTCAAAATTGGTTTGTACTTTGTCCTATCCTTTATTCTTCCATATCCATGTATTTAAACATCTAAGTCCTACATGTACACAAGTGCTTAATCCAGTGTTACATTAACCAAATCATATTTCCTTTTAGTCACTTGTTATAATTGAGTCAAACATACAAATATTCATCATTGCTCCCTTTATTAAAGAGTATTATATCTTTATCAAACTGTATACAGCTGTTTGATAATTCAGATTCCCCTATATATGTAGTCAATCTTTATAGAAATATATCTTTTAATGAACAAATTAATGAAACAGCTTATAAAATAGAAAAATTGCTCCTTTTAGTGGTAATTTTTAGACACATCTTGGAGATTGTTTTCATGGATTGCAACACTATTAAACTTCTTATCTCTGAGTTACTGTTTATTTTTCCAATACAGCACTATACTTACCTTCTCTTCTGTATTAAAGATTTTAAAAATCTAGACCAGGCACTGGTAGCTCACATCTGTAATCCTAACTAGTAACAGAGGTAGGGAGGATTGCAGTTCAAGGAAATACCCCACTCACATCAATAGCTGTTACCCCAGTTACAAAGAAGACAGAGAAGCTGCATGCCGGTGGCTCACACCTGTAACCCTAGCTACTCAGGAAGCTGAGATCTGAGGATCGTGGTTCAAAGCCAGCTGGGGCAGGAAAGTCTGTGAGACTCTTATCTCCAATAAACCACTAGAAAACCAGAAGTAGTGCTGTGGCTCAAGTGGTAGAAAGCTAGCCTTGAGCTGAAGAGCTGAGGGACAGTGCCCAGGCCCAGAGATCAAGACCCACAACCTGCAGAAAAAACAAAGACAGAGATGGAAATGCTTGTGATTCCAGGCCAGTCAAAACAAGTTCTGGAAGCATGGCTAAAGCAAAGAACATCTGCCTAGCAAAGCATAAAGCCCAGAGTTCAAACCCGTTAACTCCCCTAACCCCCACCCCCTGTGCAGATAGCTGGTATCTATGTCTCTCTGATTACTATGCCAGTTTTGCCCAGCACAGGGCCTGTTTTTGTAAAATTAACCCTTTTTTTTTTTCATCTTTCAGTTTTAGTGTTTTATATCATGACTACCAGTTTCCTTTCAGTAGGCAGGGGAAAAGAACTTACTTTTCATGAGGTTTTACAACTTTGATTTGTTAATAAAATTTGTTTTATCTTTGAGATTTTTTAACAGGGATATGTTCTGTTTTTCTAGTTAGTCTCAACTCTTGAGTTCAAGCCTGCAGAGTATCTGGGACTCTAGGCACTTTTCACCAGGCCCAGATTTTTCCTTAGCTTTATACTGTCAGTTGTTTTCAAACTTTCAAATTGAATTTGTTGCCTTCTGGCATAAAGAACCAAAATGAAAGCTGTTGATCAATAGTGTGTTAGGGGAGAAGGGAGGAAGAGAAAGACATAGAGAGGGTTATTCTAAGCAAAATATAGTGTGTGCATGTCTGAAACACCATAGTAAAATCCACTAGTGAAATTAATGCACATTAAAAACATAAATTTGATGTCTTCCAAAAATATTTTTCCAGATAAAAGGCATATTTAAAATTTTCTGTCAAAGTGAAAAATTAATGTTTTTCAGAATAAAATATTTCCTTAACCTTTTTGATTGATTATTAACTTCCTTACTCATAGATTTTAGCAATTTTTTTTTTTTAATTCTGTGGAACAGAATCCTATTGAAACACTAGAAAATTTCAAAAAAAAGCTAGAAATTGACTTTTCTTCAATATTAAGTATTTCAAGAGGTTCTAAATGTGTTTAAATTTTATTAATGTTTGTGACAGGTAATTCTTTTTTTTTTTTTTTTTTTTTTTTTTTCTTGCTTGAACTCAGGGCCTGGGCACTGTCCCTGAGCTTCTGTTTCTTCAAGGCTAGAACTCAATGACTTAAGCTTCAGTACCACTTCCAGCTTTTTCTGTGTATGTGGTACTGAGGAATCAAACCCAGGGCTTCATGCATGCTAGGCCAGCACTCTACCACTAAGCCACCTTCCCAGCCCAAAATTTTATTAATGTTTGTAAACAACTTTATTGCCATCTTTATCTCTATCCCATAATATTAACCTTTATAGTCCATAGCAACTTTTATTTTATAAAACTTTTTTTGTATGTGCCAGTATTGGGACTTGAACTCAGAGTCTTGGCTCTTGCTCAGCCTTTTAGATTGTGGCTAGCACTCTACCACTTTAGCCATACCTCTATTTCCCACTTTTTGCCAGTTACTTGGAGATAAGAGTCTCATGAATTTTTTTGCTTAGGCTAGCTTAAAACCAAAATTCTCAGATCTCAGCCTCCTTCCTGAGTAGCAAGGATTGTATGTGTGAGTAACTGGTACCCACTTATAAAACATTTTTACATAGTATGTCACTTGGAGGCTGGGAAGGTGGCTCAGTGGTAGAGTGCTTGCCGTGCATGCACGAGCCCCTGGGTTCAATTCCTCAGTACCACATAAGCAGAAAAGGCTGGAAGTGGCACTGGGGCTCAAGTGGTAAATCGCTAGCCTAGAGCTGAAGAGCTGAGGGACAGTGCCCATGCTGAGTTCAGGTTCCACAACCAACAACAAAAAACCATAGTATATCCCTTGGGTTGAATTGTACTAGGATTTGAAAAGGCCTTGCACTTGCTAGGCAGGTTCCCTACTGCTAGAGCCATACCTATAGCCATACTTTTTTGTTTTTAGTTATTGTTCAAATAAGAGTCTCATATTTATGACCAGGCTGACCTGGACTGCAATCCTCCTTATTTATACTTTGCACGGAACTAAACTCACAGTTACATGCCACCACTTTTAGTTGCAGAACTTGAGACAGGATCAATCCTCCTGATCTCAGCTTCCTCAGTAACTAGGATTAGTATGAACTACTGTGCCAATCCCCCAACCCTTTTTGTATATGTCTGCCTTGTGCTCTTAGGTAGCTAGTTTTCTGATGGCAGACATACTACTACTTAGTCTTGCCTCCAGCACTACTTTTTGCTGGTTAATGTGACTTTTCAGCTCAGGTTGGCTTCAAACCATGACCCTCCATGTCTCCATCTCCTGAGTAGCTAAGGTTACAGTGATGTGCCACCAGACCCCAGGTGGTGAAATATATAAGACCCTTCAGTGATGAGCTTTTTAAGGCCAGAGTTCTTTCATAAATGTGTTGCCCTCTGTTGTAAGCTTTTCAAGTTTGATGAACTGTCATATTTACCACTTCATATTTTTCCATCTTTCTAGTTACTCGTTCAGAACTCTTACCTAATATTTACATTTTGTCCAGGAAGACAGACATCTTAATACTTGACATGTTTACCTATTTAAAAATTATTCATCCTACTCAGGAATCTAACTGGGTTTCTTTTTTTTTCTAACTGGATTTCTTTAAGTTAAAAGTTTATTAAATTGAAGGGTGATGTCTTAAGAAAAATTTCACAATTATATTTGATGGTAAATTTTTACTGAATACAGTAAAAGTATTTGTTAAGAAAATTCTTACATTTTACTGACTTGTCTATTGAAGCCATTAAGTAGTTCTGATCACAAATGGGCAGTATAAGGTAATTTTATAGGAAGGCTAATATTATGCTGATTTTTGTTTGCATAAGTGGCTAGAACCAGAACAACTTTTTCACTGTATTCACTTCATAATGATAAAGTTTTTGATATAGGTCAGTTAGTATTCTAGTTACTGGGATTATAATAATAAAATGATTGTTCATCCCTTCAAGAGGCTCAGTCTAATGCAAGGAACATATACAAATCAGATGGTTTCAGAACTATCTAATATAGAACAGTAGTAGAGATGTGCCCAGGGTACTTAAGGAACCTATATAGGGGGATATGTAGTCCAACTTGTAAGTGAAAATCAAACACAAGAGATGCATGAACAACTCAGGAGTCAGTGTCACCTGAGGCAGCATCTGAATAGGTAAGTATGACTTAGCATCATGCAGAAGGTAGTTAAGCTTTCCAGGGATGCAATGGAACCAGAAACTGTGTTTGCCTGAGACAGTATGTCATGTGGTAGTGTTGGAGCATCATAAAAAACTGGAAACATTGATTCTCTTAAAATGCAATTGTGTGGACTAGGCACTGGTGCCTCATGCCTGTAATCCTAGCTACTCAGGAGGCTAAGACCTGAGGATCACAGTTCAAAGCCAGCTTGGGCAGGAAAGTCCATGAGACTCTTACTTCCAATTAACCACATGAAAAAAACAGAAGTGGTGCTGTGGTTCAAAGTTGTAGAACAGGGCTGGAAAGGTGGCTCAGTGGTAGAGTGCTTGCCTTGCATGCCTGAGGCCCTGGGTTCGATTCCTCAGCACCACATAAGCAAAAGAAAAAAGCCAGAAGTTGCGCCGTGGCTCAAATGATAGAGTGCTAGCCTTGAGCTGAATAGCTGAGGGACAGCGCCCAGGCCCAGAGTTCAGGTCCCACGACTGGACCCAAAACAAAAACAAAAAAACAAAACAAACAAAAAAAGTTGTAGAGCACTAGCTTTGAGCAAAAGAGCTCAGGAACAGTGCCCAGACCCTGAGTTCAAGCCTCATGACTGACCCCCCAAAAAAGCAATTGTGTGCTGTAAGCCCAACTAAATATTGTGGGAAGTTAAAGAATTTTAAAGACCAAAAACCAAGAAAATAGTTAAGAAGTTGGTGTCTTAGATCAGTGTTAGAGTACTTGGCTAGCGCAAGGCCCTGGGTTCAATACTCAGCAACACCACCGAAAATTAAATATGGTTCTATGTATGTGTGTGTACATGGGCACCAATCCTGGGTCTTGAACTCAGGGCCGAGATCTTCTCCCTGAACTTTTTTTTGCTCAGCTAGTACTCTTCCACTTGTGCCACGGTTCCAATTTTGTCTTTTTGGTAGTTAATTGGAGATACGAGTCTTATGGACAATCTTTCCTGGGCTGGCCTTGTACCTCAGTCCTTCGGTGCCCCACTACACCTTTCTTTCTAAAAGTTGAGTTAATTAATTAGTTGAATGGTTAGTTCTGAATAACATGTTTTTGAAATTTGCAGTGTTGCAGTTAAATCAATACTCATCCAGTAACTAAATGTATATTAAATATTATACGTGATTGCTCCTGAATTTTTTGTTTTTATTTTTTTAATAGTTACACAAAAGGGTTTCAGTTCCACAAGTCTGATGATGAGTTTAATGTATCTTGATGGTCAGTGTCATCCTTTGATCATGCTCTCCCCCATTCCAACTCATTGTCCCTGAATGTGAATGTCTGCTAGTAAGTGTATTACAGGAACTTAGATCGTCTTTTAGTTGATCACCACATCTCTTTAAATATGTTGAGTTATTTGATACCTTTGGTGTTGTTAAAGAGACTTTTGTGACCCAGTTTATGTTGAAGATTCCTCATTAGCATATATTACAAAATGGAGGTTTTCTTGTCCTCCTTCTATATATACCCCATCAACCTTACTCCCTCATTTTCCTTTGTTCTCCCTTTGCCTCTTCCTAAGACAACGTCAATAGATTTCCTTTTTGGGGGAGGGGTCCAGTCGTGGGGCCTGAACTCTGGGCCTGGGCGCTGTCCCTCAACTCTTCAGCCCAAGGCTAACACTCTACCACTTGAGCCATAGTGCCACTTCTGGCTTTTTCCTTTTTGCTTATATGTGGCTAGCGCTCTACCACTTGAGCCACAGTGCCACTTCTGGCTTTTTCCTTTTTGCTTGTGGTGCTGAAGAATCAAACCCAGGGCCTCATGCATGCAAGGCAAGCACTCTACCACTGAGCCACCTTCCCAGCCCTCAATAGCTTTCTTTATTCTAGTTTCATACATGCATATAAAGTACTTTAATGTTATTTTATTTTTATTTTTTCACCAGTCCTGGGGCTTGAACTCAGGGCCTAGGCACTATCCCTGAGGGTTTTTTGGGGGGGGGGAGGGGGGATCTTTGTTTGTGCTCAAGACTAACACATTATTACTTGAGCCACAGAGACACTTCAGTACTTCAGTTGTATATTTTCCCTCTTTATTGACCTTTTCCCCCTTCCCAGTATTACCTGTGACTTGAGTTAAACATTTTGATGTCTTCCTCCCCTCTTCAGTATTTCCTAGAATGACCATAAGATTAGCTTTCAATGAAAAAAACAGAAGGTTTAACACCTTCAGGGGAGGAGAGTGTCTCTAGGGCTTGAATTTAGAGCCTGTCCCTGTCCCTGAGAGTGAGAGACAGAGAGAGAGTGTGTGTGTGTGTTGTTGTTGATGCTCAAGGCTAGCACATTATCACTTGAGCTATAGTACCACTTCTAGTTTTTGGTGGTTATTGGAGATTCAGAGTGTCATGGACTTTCCTGCCTAATCCTCAGTGCTCAACCTCCTGAGTTAAGATTACAGGCATGAGCCACTGGTGCCAAGCAAGATATAACCATCTTTAAGATTACTCTGAACTGAGCGCTATCTACTTAGGAAGCTGAGATCAAAAGGATCCTGGTTTGAGGCCAGCCTGGAAAAAGTCTGAAAGACTATTTCCAGAATGACCAGTAAAAAATTGAACAAGACCTTGAAGTTAAAATCCAAACACCTCAAACAACAAGCTCATGAATTATTCATGAAGAAAAATAAACAGCTCAATTGTTTTATTAAAATGCTTTTAGTTTTTTGTGTGAAAATACATGATTTTAATATTATTTTATCAAATGATAATCACTTTATGTGTGTGTTTTCTTTTTTAAAATTCAGGCTGTCATTAAAGATAGAACCAGGAACAAGCACACCACGTTCTGCTGCTTCCAGGGAAGATTTAGTAGGTTAGTGCATAGTTTCTTTCTCATTGCCAATTAATAATCCAAATAATTTCAAAGCAGGCAACTTCAAAGTACATCTTATGTTCAGAATTTTACTCAGTCCTGAGTTTTTTGGTTTTTAATTAAAAAGTAACTTGCAGGTTATTAATGTTTATTAATAAATATTATTTAATCAAGGAGAGCATGCAACATGTTAATAAGAATTTATAAATATTCTATTCATTTAAGAATTATTAGTGTTCTACTCAGTGAAGGTTGATTACACTAGAAACGTATGTTGTCTATGTGGAATATTCTGTTTTTTATATTACTGAGTCTATTTTAGCAATTAATTTTAAGTTTATTTCAGTATTGGGACAAGGACTAAAAATATAAAAATCAAATCATAGTCCATGCTGTTGCTTTCTAATGGTGATGTTACTTATTTGGGAGGAGATACTTATACTACAATTAAAAAAAATATTGAGAAGTACCTATTTAAAATTGCTAATACAGACTGTCAAAATAACCTTCCTATTGTATATTCTAAAAAACATTTGAAGGCTTAGCTGATATATGAGGAATGAAGGAAACATTTTGACAGTTTGGATGAGGAAAAGCCTTCCAAGTAGAGGAAAATACTTTAAGGTCATTTCTTATTTGGCGCTTTCCTTTTCCTTTAATGGAGTTTGAACACAAAGCATCACACTTGCTAGACTGACACTTTTATCACTTAAGCCATGTCTCCAGCCTTGAATTTTGATGGTTATTTTGGAGATGGAGTCTAGCAAACAGCAGCCAATTGGCCTGGACTGCCCTCAAACTTTGATCCTCCAAGTTACAGCTTCCTAAGTAGCTAGAATTGCAGGCATGTGCCACTGGCTCCCAGTCAAATTTAAATCCCTTAAATGTGCTTTTTATTTTGATTTTGTGATACACAGCAAGCTGTCCTCAAGCTCAAAGTCCTACTCTATGCCCAGCTTTTTTTTTTTTTTTTCATCCTTAGAGTGATATATTGCAAAGCTATGTACTTTAGAGTTTTTTATTTCCATAAGCTTGAACAATATCAGTACAGATAATAATTTTTAATATATCCTACATATTTTTTACATAAATAGAAGCTGAAACCCTGAGTAAAGAAGCATGTATAAGTCCAGTGCCAGGGGCTGGGGGTTTAGCTCAGCGGAAGAGCGCCTGCAAGTGGCTCATGCCTGTAATCCAACTACTCAGGAGGCTGAGGTCTAAGAAGTGCCATTCAAAGCCAGCTCAGGCAGGAAAGTCTGAGACTGTTATCTCCAATAAACTACTCAAAATAAGCCACAAGTGGAGATGTAAATCAAGTGGTAGAGCATTAATGAGCCTTGAGCAAAGGAAGCTCAGGAATGCACCCAGGCCCTGAGTGACAGCCTCAGGACCAACACAAGGAAAGAAAGAGAGAGAGAAAGAGAGAGGGGGAGGAAGAGAGAGGAAGGAAGGAAGGAAGGGAAAGGAAGGAAGGGAAAGAAAAGAAAGAAAGAGAGAAAGAAAGAAAGGAAAGAAACTGTGTAAAATCAAAAGCACTGAGAGCCAGGCCCCAGTGGCTCATGCCTGTAATCCTAGCTACCCAGGAGGCTGAAATCTGAGGCTCACAGTTCAAAGCAGCCCGGGCAGGAAAGTCCATGAGACTCATCTCCAATAAACCGCTAGAAAATGGGAAGTGGCCCTGTAGCTCAAGTGGTAGAGTGCTTGCCTTGAGCTGAAGAGCTGAGGGACAGCGCCCAGGCCCAGAGTTCAAGCACCATGACCTACCCAAAAAAAAAAAAAAAAGCACTGAACCTAGGACTCAAAATTCTTGGATAATTAGCCCAGATTTTGTCTGTGAGGTAAGATCTTGAGATGTCTTCTAATTCTTCTGTCTTCCTATATAAATAGAAAAGATATTTATACATGTAAGTTAGATAGAAATTAATGTATTCTTGTATGGCTTGAGATTCTTTGTTGTACAACTTTGAAAATAACTCATGAAGTTAAATCAGTTAAGCAAAAGCAAACATTATTATTACCTTAAAATTTAAACCACACTTAATATTTTATGTCACGGTATTAAAAATAAAACAAACCTTTAAGACAATGTAAAAATTTCCTTCCCCCCTCCGTCCCTCCCTCTCTGTTTTAATTTAATGTTCAGGTCCTGAAGTAGGAGCATCACCACAGAGTGGTAGGAAGAGTGTGGCTGCAGAAGGAGCCCTGCTCCCTCAGACACCCCCATCCCCTCGGAGCCTGATTCCACACGGACACAGGAAGTGCCATAGCCTGGGCTATAAGTCAGCATCTGAATTTTGTTTGTGGTTGGAATTATTTATTAATTAGTAAATAAATTCTATATGTTTATTAAATAGAAAATAGTGATTTTGCTAACAACACTAGTAAAACATCTTGTTTGCCCACAAGCATTTTAGTTCTTCATTTGCTTAAATTTGTAAATAAGCTGTTCGCAACAGTGCCTTTGTTTCCTTTACAGTCATAAACAGTTGTCTTAACTAAAATAAATAATAAAATCGAGGGGCAGGGTGGGGGGGGAAATCCAAAGAGTTATTCTCACTAAATATAAAGAAAGGAAAACTGATTAGTTGTTATTTAACTTCATTAGTTGTATAATAATGTACTCTCAAAAAGGGATCCATGCTTACCTGTGTATGGTTTTTGTGAGATTTTAACAATTCTATCCAAATGAATGTTAAAACAATGTTATTCATGGACCTGAGATTCCAGATGAAATTAAAGTATATAATAGTTATATAAGTAGATGTGATGAGGTTTCATATACAATTTTCTTTACACTGTTAGTTTGAGTCTTTCTTGGTGGCAACTACATGTTTGTTCTTATAAAAGTTGAGGGTTTAAGATAGAAGATAAATCTTTTTAATCTTCAAGTAGTTGTACAGCAGAGTTTCAGTTCAACCAGAAATGTTTATATCCTGAATTTTTCATATAAAAGTACTTTTTATATCCTAAATTAGTAATATAGTAAAAGCTATGAAAAATGTTTCTTTTTATTTCCAGTTTTATTCATAAAATGAACACAGCAGAGTTTAAGAGTGCAACATTCCCAAATGCAGGCCCAAGACATCTGTTAGATGATAGTGTCATGGAACCCCATGCTCCATCTCGAGGCCAAGCTGAAAGTTCTACTCTTTCCAGTGGAATATCAATAGGTGAGAAACATTTCTCAGAGTGCTCCTATTTACAAAAGATGAAAATTTAAACAAAACTCAGTTGAGAAAGAAGTCATAGCCAGGTTTCAGTGGCTTGTGTCTATAATCCTAACTATTCAGGAGGCTGAGATCTGAGGATCTTGGTTGGAAGTCAGCCTAGGCAGAAAAGTCCATGAGACTCCTATCTGCAGTTAACCACAAAAAAAAAAAAAGCCAGAAGTGAAGCTGTGGCTTAAGTGGTAGAGCACTAGCCTTGAGCAAAAAAGAGCTCAGAGACAGTGCCCAGGCCCTGAGTATGTGCCCCAGGACCAAGAAAAAATGGGGAGTGGGAACAGGAAGGAGGATGAACTGTTGAAGGAAACAATAAGACTGATAAGGAAGAAGAGGGGAAAGGGATCACAAATACCGAGTGTCTCAAAGAAGAGGGAAATGCTAAATTATCAGTATCAGGTACAAAAATGAGAATGAAAACACTGCATTAGCATTCCTTCACAATAACAAATACTGGAGATAAGTCAGCTTATAAAGTGAAAGGGTTTATTGTTTTAGAGGATTTAGTCCATGATCAGTTGGCCTTCTTGCAGCATATCCAAACAGAAGCATGTAACATAGCAAGATTGCTCACCACATCACCACATGGTCAGAAACTAAGAGATTAGAGTCCCATCATGACCCCCTGTAACAAAGACTAATTTCAAGCTGGAGACCAGGCTTTTAGTACATGTTTTAGTACATGTTATCTTTGGGTAACATTCCATTCAAACTAACAAATTGGCACACATCTGTAATCCCTGGACTCTGGAGAGTAAGGCAGGAGGATCTCAAATTGGAGGCCAGAATGAGCTATACAAGGGTATCTTTAAAAAAAAAAAACAAAAAAACAGAACAGAACTTGCCGGGCGCCAGTAGCTCATGCCTGTAATCCTAGTTACTCAGGAGGCTGAGATCTGAGGATCAAGGTTCAAATTAATATTCTCAGCATGTGTTAAATAGCCTGTGTGCAAATACAATCTCAATTCTAAAAGTAATAATACACAGAATTGTTTTGCAAATTGTTTTTCCCAGATTGTTGAATTATGGAATTTAGCATGCTACTTAGAACAAAAAATAATTTTTTAAATTACAGAATTGGGTTACAGCTTACCTTTATTTCTTTGCTGTACCATCCCTGTATGATACAAAAACTTATGCCATGCCAAATGCATTGGAGAAGTTTCCTATTATTATTGTTAGCAAACATTATTTGTACAATATACTTGTTCATTATGACCTTTCCATATCCTACAGTGTATCCCGATCAAACTCACTTCCTAATACTCTTACTCCATTCCCCTTTAAAACCATTTTAATAAATTTCATTTTTCTATTTTCATACATGCAAACAAACTACTTTGACAATATTCATCCTTATTTACTCTCTTCTCCCACTAATACTCAAACCTCCTCAACCCATCAGAGCCTTTTTTACTACTTCCTGTCATTTTTTTAGTATATACTAACAGTAACAAAGAGGTTTATACCATATTTCAGATGTGTATATATTATATCATGATCAGAATAATCCTCCCTACTGCTTTCTCTTTCTCCACCCCACAAAGCCCCCTACTGCTAACAGCTTCCATTGAGATTCATAAAAGAGTATTAATCAGTCACTTATAATTGACACTTTATAGTATTAGAATTTGAGTCTCTTAAGGAACCATGGTTGTAAAAGTTTGGTGGAGAATTCAACTTGACATTAGTTTTAATTTTATTGAGAGCCAAAATTATCTTTAACTTACACTAATCTTCAAATTCATCCTCCTCAGGTTTTTTCCCCCACCTAACTAAGTTTCTATTTGAAGACCATTTTAACTGATAACACAGCTATAGAACAAATTGTCGTTTTGTCTATAGAAAAATTTGAAAATATTAGAGATCCTATCCTTTCCAGTCTCATTTCTAAGACAAATTAGTTTCATTAGGCTTTTTATCCTTAGGGTAAGTACAAAATTGAAATAAGTATGCCTTGAACTTCTTGGGATTCTATCATTATTTTATTCCTGAGTTGGGACAAACTGAAAAAGAAAAATTGTGTAATATATACATTCTCTGGTAGAAATACTGTTCTTTGGTTTTGGTTTTGGTTTTTTGTTTGTTTTTTTTTTTTGTTTTTTGTGCTAGTCCTGGGGTTGAACTCAGCCTGAGTACTGTCCCTGGTCTTTTATGCTAAAGGTTAGAGCTCTACCACTTGAGCCAAAGCTCCATTTCTGGTTTCTTTGGTGTTTAATTAGAGATAAGAGTCTCAGGAATTTTCCTGCCTGGACTAGCTTCAAACTTGATCCTTAGATCTGAGCCTCCTAAGTAGCTAGGATTACAAGAGTGAGCCTCTGGTGTCCAGTAGAAATATTGTTTTTTAATGTAATAAACGTAAGCTAGCTATAATTAGGCATGAAAAAATGTTACTTTGTTACCTTAGTCTTGTCAACTGTACTCTAATGTATTGCAAATAAACTTAGCAGTAATACTAGAATAATAATATATAAATGATAGACTAAAATGAAGAAATGTATTTTTAAATTATAAAATCCAAACTGAAAAAAACAGTTCTGATGTTGAAAAACTAGAATAACTTTTGATTTTAGGTAGCAGTGATGGTTCTGAACTAAGTGAAGAGACCTCTTGGCCTGCTTTTGAAAGGTAAGAGAAATTGTTAAACTGCTTGCAATTTATTTTGTATGTCCTAAAGGATATGATAAAATGAATTTGAAGAAGCATTTATTACGTGTCTCTGACTAAAGTTTCTTGCCAACAGAAAAGTTAGTTATTGATACTTAAGTCTGGGATTGTAAGTAATGAGAATGGTTCTTGGTAGTCTGTTAATTTGGTGTCTTTACATGTGCATTTGAATTTTAAGTACATTTTATTTGTAAGTTAAATTTTCAATAATTTTAATGCTAACAGTTTCAATAATAAGATAGTTAACTTCTGTTATAAAATTATTACTTTAGGTCTTGGTAACTCAAGAAATTTTAAAACACTTAGGGGAATGATCAACTTTGCTGCTTTGTCAAAGGCAAAATGAGTTGGTAAATTTTAAAGTATATGATATTTGAATGTAAGTGAGTGGTCATTAATTGAAATTGTACCGAGTATATATTATAGTAGCTTATAAAGAAATAATATAATTTGTACTTCTTTTTTTTTTTTTGGCGGTCATGGGGGCTTGAACTCTGGGCCTGAATGCTGTCCCTCAGCTCTTCAGCACAAGACTAGTGCTTTACCACATGAGCTACAACACCACTTCTGGTTTTCTGGAGATGAGAGTTTGACGGCCTTTCTTGGCCTTTCTTGCCCGGGCTAGCTTTGAACTGTGATCCTCAGATCTCCAGCCTCCTGAGTAGCTAGGATTACGGGTGTGAACCACCAGTGCCCAGCATAATTTGTAGTCTGTTCTCCTGTTTTTTGTTTTTGTTTTGGGAAGGGGTCCAGTCGTGGGGCCTGAACTCTGAGCCTGGGCGCTGTCCCTCAACTCTTCAGCTCAAGGCTAGCGCTCTACCATTTGAGCCACAGCGGCACTTACAGCTTTTTTCTTTTTGCTTATGTGGTGCTGAGGAATCGAACCCAGGGCCTCATGCATGCAAGGCAAGCACTCTACCACTGAGCCACCTTCGCAGTTCCTGTTCTCCTGTTATTTTGAGCTATAAAACTCATCAGTGTGAAGAAACTTTAGTATATTGATCTTCAAATACAAATGCTCCTTGAGAGTGTATCAAAAAATTCCTAAAAATTATATATGTATAACTCTGACTACTTTCAGTATTACCATTCTTAGACTCCTAAGAGATTTGACCTTTTTTTTTTCATTTTTGGTGCCATTATGGGGGCTTTGAACTCAGGTCTTGAGCTCTCACTCAGCTTTTTTGCTCACATCTGGCACTCCCATATGAACCATACCGCCAGTTCCAAACATTTGACTCTTAACCAAAACATTGCTCCATTTTAGGTATAAGCTAAGCAACTAAGGGTTGTGGATATAATATAGCTCAGTGATAAGTGCACTTGGCCTAGCACATGCAAGGCTCTGGATTTGATCCTTAGTATTACAAGAGAATGGGGTGGGCCTAAGCAAGAGGTGATATTGAGTAATTGAAGCAAGCGGTATGCTACTGAGCAATGCCTTCAGCCCTTAACGTTATTATTTAGATTAAATGTTAATGTCATATGTTTAGTCATATAACTCCCATCAATCACTTTTTGAGAGAAAACCATTTCAAATTGAATTATCTTAAGTTGTTGAGTTCAAGCTTTTAATTGGAAAAAATATATTAATGTTGCTAATGAAAATACATAAAGATCTTCACCATTTTGTGATTAAGGTTTTATTCATGAGGTCTTTATTACTTCAGTGTACTTTTTAAAATCCTTTCTACTCTAATTATAAATGTTTCCATGTTCTTTTTATTAGGGGGTTCTTAAAAATTTGTTTTAAATTTTGTTTCTCTCCTAACCTTCACTTTTGTTCTCTTACTTGGGTTTTCTTGAAATGAGGAAAACACAAAAGTTACCCTAGATGTGTTCTGAATTTGTACAAATTATCTTTCCCCTTAAGAAAAAGCAGAATACCATCATCAGATCTTGATTTTAGAGTGTATAAATTTTTAGATTGACAGTATTAACAAAGTTGTTGGTTAGATTGCTTGAGTTGTAAATAACCCAGAATAATATTGCGCTCATCTGTTCTCATCCCAGCAAGTTACCTACAGAGACAGTCATTAATGATGTTGCCTTCACGCCTCAAAACAATACTTTTCTTGTATGACAAATGTTTTACTTTGCAGCCAAAAAAAAAAAAAAGTGTTCTTGTGCCAAGTTTCAACCAGTGGCTTTTGGAATATTTTGAGAACCTTTGTGTGAATGCTTATTTCTTGTGAAATAAGAAGTGAATTACAACTAAGATCTAAAATACTATCTGTGGACAGTGAACTTGAAGATAACACTAATATTTTGAGTGGCCAGGGTGGGAATGCAGAGGGAGGGATCAAATACTCAGCTACTTCCTGGGCCCCCAAAAATAGCACTCTGAATTTTGATCCCACCATATTTCTCCTCTTATTTCCTAGGGAAACACAGATACATCATTGCTTAAGTTGCTAAAATAATTCTTTTTTTTTTTTTAGATATCATTTGTCACCAATGCCACTTATGGCTTTTCCCAGGCAAAGAAGTATCAGTGTTTCTGTGTGTGTGCACACATAGGCGGGTTGGCATGAATTTATTTCCTTTATAAAGCATAGCATTTCAGTTTGGACAAACTCCATTCATAACCATCCCGTTTGTTTATTGGCTTTCTCAATTAATGCTGAAATAAAATGACTAAATTTGTTATTTAATTTTCTTCCTTTATTAGTCTTTGATTTACTATCAAAGATAGAGGTTTTCCTCCTTTGTTTTAACTTTAGAAGCCATGTTGCTTTTAGGTGTCTTCATAGGGACATATAATAAATACTTTTATATTTAAATTGGAATCCAAGAAGTAAAGTTAGAAACAAAAGGCTTTTGAATTATCTTTCACATCTATATAATTAGCCATAAATTGCTCTTTAATTCTTTTAGCAGATTTATGAAAGATAACGTATGTGAAACTGTATAGTAGGTACTAAATACTATATTTGTAGTCAATAATTTTGAAAAACTTGCTGCATGCTTTGAAAAAGAAAGAGGAACTATTATATACTGTCCTTTTGATTTAGAAAGCTATATTGGACAAAAAAACAAGTGTACTCTTCTAGGTATTGATGATTTTGTGAATAAAGTATATGTAATACATACAATTTATAATGGAATCCAACAGGAACAGATTATACCATTCTCTCGGCCCGGTGACAAGAGTGGCACGAAATGGCTATCGGAGCCACATGAAGGCCAGCAGGTACAATTCCCCTGCAAATCAGGGGGGTCTCAGAACTCCTTTTGGTGTTGGTGATTCGCTTACTTGGGTGTGGTCTGACATTATCTCTATTCTTTCTCAACTAATTGATTTTAATACAAATTATCCCCAAATCTTTCCTTCCAAGATTTAATACAGAGAAAGGTTTGAGCTATTCTTTTTGATCCACAGAGCTAATTGCTAAAAGTTACATCTTTTTATTACATTTTCCAAATGCTTCTCTAAGATGGTGGCATTTTAACTGCATAGGTCTTTCAACTGTTGCTAGTTCTTGAATGATCACTTTATTGTTAAGCTACAGTATGTTTATTTTCAGTTTTTTTAAAGAACTTTTTCAGATAAACCATAGAATTTAGACAAATGTATTTCATCAAATAGTTTTTATGTATTTCGACTCATACTCAATTCTTCATCTAGTTAAACTATCTCCTTTTCCTTTCATATTACCTGTAGAAGAAACTAAAGATGGATTGATTGTGGATGTAGAAATGAGTAACCAGTTCAGAATACAGCAAAATAGTAGAAAGCACACTCATTCGGTGTCTGATCTTCTTTTGCATACCTCCCTGGTTATGAAAGCTATAGCATGAAATTTCTTAGGTTAAGTCGCTTTGAAGACACCTAAATAGTCATAAAGGAATAAACTGGAAAACTTCTGTTTTTCTTCACTTCTGTAGGAATTCTACATCTCATCAAATCACCAGTGATTGTCATTTTTATAATGTATTTGTTTTAATTGATTCATATATAAATCATTTTTGGGGAATGATTGGGAAACATTGTACAGTCGTTATTGTGTGATCTTTTTTTAAGATATATGAAAAGGGAATTTTGATCTGGGGAATTTTTCCTTTCTTGGAGAGCTGTTAAGTCATAATTGAGCATTTACACATTAGCAGCATTTAAATGTTACTAAAACTCATTGCAAAAAGCCAGTTTTGAAAAATGTTACTACTCTTTGCTTTTTTTAAAAAACTTGTTTTACAATTAAAATAAGCATAAATTTTCTTTTTTTTTTCTTTCTGGTCTTTTGCTATTTTCAGTTTTATGTACTTAATAATTCTAACATAAAATTATCTCTCCTACCAGGACTTAAAGTTTCTAATGGGGAAAAATAAAGTTACAGTAATGATGCAGCATGGCATGTTAAGAAGACAAAGCCAAATTTAGTCAATATATTTGTTCAAATAAATAATAGTTTTTTAACCATCTTCTGATTTTAATAGCTTCCTAACTTTGACTGCTTACAAATTTCAAATCAATAAACATTTTAAATTATCAGTGTCTTCTTGGCTCTGGACAAAGTAAAGTTTTTAAATTAAGAATAATATTTAAGTATAAAGACTGTAGACAAAAGCTCTAACTTGTGTTTTTCTTTATTTCATTTGTAGTTCTGCAGAGTCAGAAGATTTGGCAGTACATTTATATCCAGGAGCTGTTACTATTCAGGGTGTTCTCAGGAGGAAAACTTTGTTAAAAGAAGGCAAAAAACCTACAGTAAGATTCCATTACATTTATTTTAATACACATCTAAGAATGTGAATGCCTAAGACACTAAAAATTAAGTGGAAAGAAAAGACAAAGTAATGTACTTTGATATAATTTAAAATGTATAAAAAAATGTGCATTTTCCTCATGGGATTTAGTAACAAAGTATTCTATCAGCCATCTAGATTTCAGCTAAATCCCTTGTAAAGTATGTTTACATAAAGATAATCCTATACTTCTCTTTTTACTCATTAAGGTAAATTGTACACAAAACTATTTAAGAGAACCCTAAAGTTACTTCATTAAGAAAAATTATAATGGTTGGGCATAGTGGTACATGCCTGTAATTCCAGCTTTTCAAAGGGCATGGTTTGAGGCCAACCATGTCAAAATGTTAGTCACACCTCATCTCTACAAATGAGCTGGTAATGGTGGTTCACACCTGTAATTCTAACTATATGGAAGTCAAAAGTAGGTGGATAATGGTCAGAAGTCAGCCCCTGGAGAGAAACATGAGACTAACCCAAAAAAAACTACAGCACATATGAGCTGGTAATGTGTCTCAAGTGGTAAAGAGCCTTCTTAACAATCATGAGGCCCCAAGTTCAAAACCTCAGTACTGCCAAGGAATGGAGGAAGGAAGAGAGGGAAGATGGGATATATAGAAATAGAATATTCATACATGTGTTTGAGAAAAATTGCTTAGTAAAACAAAGCTTTTTGTGTGTAACAGTTTGTATTTCCCAGTACCAGTATAGTAGTTTACTAAAACATAAATTTTCTCAAATAACTTTGTGGTTTATCTAATTAAATATAAATTCATCCACACTTAAACCTCTTGAAAATAGGAAGGTTTCTTAAAATACAAAGGTGATTTCTATTTAAGTAATCTTACTTTGCTCTTACATTACAGTAAAGCAAAGGCACAAACAACGAAGAATCTGCACTAGACCATGCAGTGAACGCAGAATAGTATGTCCCTTGAGGGGTCACTGTGCCCACTGTGTGCACTGAACAGTAGGACAGGGTGACTGCCTCATGGATATACATTCCACTGAGGAGACCCAGAGAGGTCCTTTAAGATGATGTGATAGCAAGGCATTTGCATTGCCATCTGTGAAAGGTGTTAGCTTTGTTCAGCTCTAAAGACCAAGAGCCCTAAAGGTCCTGTGTTGTTGAAGCATGGAAAAATGGAGAAAGTAGAGAAAATAAAGTCAGAATAGACTTGGTTGTTGATATTTTACATGATGTATAAGAGAAATAATGGAAATGGAAATAACTTATGGGTTTGAGGGTTAAGCTTAAGTAGATATTGGGAACATTTTTTTTATAGTTCCAAGTTCAGTTTTAACTAGTGAAGGGATGGTGTTAGACATGGTGTTTTGGGAGTCATTAGCATACAGATAATAATCCCAAACTTCAAATACTATCTTTGAAGAAAGTACTAACTGGGGAAAGAGAATGAGTTCTGTGAAGCATCAAGTCAGCTGTATGAAAAAATGTAAAGTGAAACTTAAGGAGCTTGTTATCCCACAGCCTAAGTTAAAGTACTTGAAGAAAGTTAAGAAGCAATGATATTAGCTGAAAATAATAAAGATACTTGAGATACAAGATTTCAAAAATGCTACAATGCTAAGGTTAAGACAGTGGGTCATTGTCACTAAGAAGGTAAACTGAGAAGCCAGTGGCATTTTAATATGTGTTTATCATATGAATATGTTATATTCATGTGTTTATCAATTCCAGGTAGCATCTTGGACAAAATATTGGGCAGCCTTGTCTGGAACACAACTTTTTTACTATGCTGCCAAATCTCTGAAGGCTACAGAAAGAAAACATGTGAGTATTCCTCCTCCGACTTCAGTACTGGATCACAGCCTCTTCTTTATAGTTGTAAAGAAAATAGTCCTAATAGGAGGAAAGGTTTTATTCCATATTCCAGCACAGAAATTTTTATACTTGTTATTGGTATGAATACTATAATGGACTCATCGTTATTTATTAAGACCATTCCAAGGAGGTCTTGGAATAATAGCCTCTATATTTTTAGGTCTCTTTTGAATATCATTATTCTATAGCAAATGTCAAAAAACATTACAAATATCTTGGCATCAGTGCCTTTTCAACCCTGAGTTTTCTCATTCAGAACATAGCTCAGAACTATTACCTTTGAATCTCAGTTTCTAATAAGTAAAATGTGAAAAATTGGGACCAGCATCTAAAGTTCTTTCCATCTCAGTCTCTGCTGCAGTGACACTTTCAGTAATGGAAGAATGAGAGTAATTACTATAAGGTGCTTCCTTGTGCTTCATCTTAAAAGAATCTTCCAGTGCTCTTTTTCTCTGTTTAGAATATTGCTGTAAATTTTTTGCCTGTTGTTCTTACATGACAGTGATAATATGGAAGAAAAATTTCCTGTGCTACATTAACAAAATCACTTTGAGGAAGTGGTAGAATGTTAACCTTGAGCAAAAAAGCTAAAAGACAGCACCTAGCCTATGAGTCCAAGCCCCAGTACCAGCACTCCGCTCACCAAAAAAATAAAAATTAAAATTCCCTTGAGGAATTTTATTTCTAAATCATATATTGAGGAGAGACAATTAAATGGCATATACAGTGGGGAAAGTTAAGAACAATATAAGTAAGTCTTCTTAGTACTTAAAACTTTACTAATGACACTGCCTAATTGAGAGAAGCTCTGCGTACAGTTTCACCCTTTAATCAAACCAGTTATAGAAGAGGATATTTTTGGTTTAAATGTGGGAAATGCCATTAGATCACATTGCCTGCTTTATCAGTATTCCCACTACCCATCACTGTCCTAAATTTCATATTAATCATTGCTCACCTTTCTTTAGGATGTTACCATTTCCCAAATTAATACATTTCAGGGGTGGGGGTTGTAGATTTTCAGGTTTGTTTTTTTTTGTTGTTGTTGTTAGTTTGCTTTTCTTTTTTTTTTAACTTTTTAATTGTTATTATAAAGGTGACATACAGAGGATTTACAGTTGTATAAGTCAGGTAAAGAGTACATTTCTTTTTGGACAATGTCACCATTTCTGGGTTTTTAATACTATAGATTAAACCCAGAGCTGTACCAGCTCCTGAAATCATTTTTGGTTTTTGTTTTGTTGAGTGGCTGCTATTGAGACAGGCTCTCACTATGTAGCTCAGGCTGGCCTCAAACTCGAGATATTTCCCCTCAGCTTCTCAAGTGCTAGTTTTACATCTGTGTATCATCATGCCAGACTGGAATTACAAATTCTTAAGCATTGACTTCCTTACTATTATAATTGTTTACATAACTCTTGTACTGATGTAAAAAAAAAACAGTAACATTCCATTCTATGCATATTGATTTTTGTACCCTAGCTATTTTGTGTAGTCAGCATACTCTGAAACATAACATTTGTAGTAGTAGCAGACATATACTCTTCAAAATTATTCTAATTTTACTGAAACATTTTGCATTGATTGTCCCTAGTTAGTATTACTATGCTTTATAGTGAGAAAGAAAGGTTGATATGGTTAAATTAAGTCCTTTAGGACTTAACTTTTCTTTTTTTTTGTCTGTCATGGGGCTTGAATTCTGGGCCTGAGTGCTGTCTTATCAGTTCTTCAGCTCAAGGCAAGCGCTCTACCACTTGAGCCACAGTGCCACTTCCAGTTTTCTGGTGGTTTATTGGAGCTAAGAGTCTTATGGACTTTCCTGTCCATGTTGGCTTTGAACTGCAGTCCTCAGATCTCAGCCTCCTGAGTAGCTAGGATTACAGGAGTGAGCCACCAGCACCCAGCAGGACTTAATTTTTTAAGGCTATCTAAAGAGGGCATACTAAATGCATCTTAGTAGGAAAAGGTCTGAAGCTGACCTGAACTAACATGAAATCTCAAATCTCATCTTTCATTAGGAGGAACTGAAATTCTTACATAAGAATTAACCATAAAACTCATGAGTTTTACTTTTTAATTTTAGTTTTAGTTTTATTAATAAATTTATCATTTCATCTCAGTTCAAATCAACATCAAATAAGAACGTCTCTGTAGTCGGATGGATGGTGATGATGGCTGATGACCCAGAACATCCAGACCTCTTCTTATTGACTGACTCTGAGAAAGGTGACTTATTGGAACTAAGACAAGAGCTTAAAGTACTATGGATGCATAGCATTTTAGAAAGCCCAAAATCCAGTTTAATTGGAATACTAAATAGAGGAAATGCTTCTGTAGCTTTACCTTTGAAGGAACTATTTTTAAAACATACTTCAGTGAGCCAGTATTTTTATAGTTTATTTTCTTTACCACTTAGACATAAGCTTAAAAATTGAAAGCTCAAGTAATTATTAGAAGGATAATAGGGGGTAGGGGTTGGGAATTTGAGAATATAGCCCATTGTTACTTAAAAATTTCAGAAATTATACCCTTAAATGAAAGTGCTAGTATTCCTTTAATTTTTATTCTGTTACTTTAATTGGTTATTTGGCTCAAATCCCTTTCTACATTAATTTAAATACTTTACATATACAGAAATTTATCAGTCCCATAATTGGCTATTAGCCTAATTTAGAGTTTGTGAAGTAAATGAGAAAAATTGGAGAGTGAGCTACGTATGACCACATCATACCCCCTGACCTTCCCTTTATCTTCTATGAACACTACAGGGACCATCAGAAAAGACTCTAGAGCAGTTGTTGCTTTTACTTTATAACAACTGCCAACACTTGGCAAGTACCACAGAGGAGACCCAAAAAGAAATGCACATCTGCCCAGAGTTCCTTACTACAGCAGCTCACAAGTGATGTAGTCAAGTTCTGAGTCCTTTGAATATACTATAAAGGGGAGGGGGAAAAAATAAAAACCTGAGACAGTGCAGGCAAAGTTAAACTTAAAGTAAGCATAATACATGAATGTTGGTTTATTTTCCATTTACCTTAATATATGCAGCCAAATAAAATGTTCTTAGTATGAATTTTTTTTGTCATATACCAAATTTGGCACTTGATAATTTCTCGTTTCTAAAAGAGAAAAGATGTCTCCATAGATTTTTCCAGGGAGCCCATAGAACAACTGGAAATTTACCATAATCATGGCCAGTGTGTTGTAACTAAAGGCTAAAAGTATAACTAATACCCTTAATTATGTTACATAACTGATGTTTATTAACCATATTGAAGTATGCAAATACTTAACTGTTAACATGTAATATTTAGGTTAAATACTATTAACATATTTTACATTCTTATCTAGACAGACAAATCTAGTAAGCCATATAGTTATTTTACCTTAGATACTATTTCTAAAAACAATTAAACCATCTTTTTTTCTAGTTTAAAACCAGCAAAACAGTGGCTTTGTGAATATGAATATAAAATAGCATGTTAATGATTTACATAAACCAAATCTTTGTTCATACTACAAAGTCATGTAGTCAGTGAATAGAATTCTGAAACTGAGAACTCTAGATATATGCATCACTATAATATCTAGTAGAGTTTTAACATGGAATGTTCCTTAAATTTTTATTATTTTCCACTTGCTTTTTGTAATTTTAGGAAATTCATACAAGTTTCAAGCTGGCAGTAGGATGAATGCAATGCTGTGGTTTAAACATTTGAGTGCAGCCTGCCAAAGTAACAAACAACCGGTAAGCATTTTTCTTCATTCTCAACATAATCCATAACTTGGGAATATATTGAAAAGTTCCAAGAAAAGTGAGTAGAAATATTGTCTTTCTTTTCAGACAGGTTTCATAGCTTAGGCTGCTTGGAACTCACCAGGGTAGCCAGGCTTCTCTCAACCCTGCAAACCTCTTGCCTCAGCCTCCCTAATGCTGAGATTACAGTGTGTAATCCTTTGCCCAGTTGACTAGAAGAACTAGGAAAATGGTATGGTTTTTATTGTCTTGTTAACAACAATCTGTAAGACATGAAGCACATTTTAATAAGGATCTAGACAACAGACAGAATTTCAAATAGTAAGAGTTACACAAAATAAATTATAGAAACAACTTTAGATAAAGTGTACAGGGGAGCTATCTTAAAAATGAGACTAGGGCTGGGAAAGTGGCTCAGTGGTAGAGCGCTTGCCTTGCATGCCTGAGGCCCTGGGTTCGATTCCTCAGCACCACATAAGCAAAAAGAAAAAAGCCGGAAGTGGCGCTGTGGCTCAAGTGGTAGACGCTAGCCTTGAGCTGAAGAGCTGAGGGACAGCGCCCAGGCCCAGAGTTCAGGCCCCATGACCAGACCCAAAAAAAAAAAAGGAGACTATTGCCAGGCACCGGTGGCTCACGCCTGTAATCCTAGCTACTCAGGAGGCTGAGATCTGAGAATCGCAGTTCAAAGCCAGCCCGGGCAAGAAAGACTGTGAGACTCTTATCTCCAATAAACCACCCCTGTATTTGCAATGAAACCAGACTTTCCTTATGTTTTTTTAAGGTAATGTTTTAATTAAGGTAATAAGTACATTTCCTGTTAAGCATTGTTACCCCCTCCTTTGTTTTCCCCCTTTGTTTTCCCTTCTCTTCCTATCTCCCCAACTTCCCTCTCCCACCTTATAACAAGAATTTTTTTTTAAGTGAAAGGCTTTCAGCTACAAAGGCAAAAGAATCTCTCCAGTTTTCTCCAGGTCTTGTTACAGTAGTAACGTAAACAACTTAGAGCTATGGGTTTTCTAGAACCTTTTGACAAGCATGAATTTAGGATATTCATAGGACAAAAGTTTACAATGATTACTATCAGCAGCTAATTTTGAAAAGTAAAATGTACTATAAAAGTTCAAAGGAGGAGGCAACAATACTCAATAGGAAATGTACTCATTACCTTGCTCGTGTAACTTAACCCCTCTGTACAACATTTTTACGATAAAAAACGTACCAAAAAAAAGTTCAAAATGCTTGCCTGGTGCTAAGAGTTTATGCCTAGAATCCTATCTACTCAGGAGGCAGGAAAGTCCATGAGACTCTTATCTTCAGTTACCCTCCAGAAAACCCAAAGTGGTTCTGTGGCTCAAAGTGGTAGAGCACTAGCCTTGAGCAAAAAAAAAAAAAAAGCTGAGGGGACAGCGCCCAGGCCCTGAGTTCAAGCCCTAAAACCAACAAAAAAGACAGTATTTGCATAGCAGCAGAGAGGTTCAATGTTTTTACTAGTAGAGCTGCCTGCTAAACAAGTAAGCAGATTTACGTAAGTAGGGTTTTTTTTTGTTGTTGTTGTTTCTGTATCTGTCACACCATGGAAACAAATTTATAAGTAAAACCTGTGAAACTTGACAATTTTTAGAAGACTGGTTCAAATACAAAATAATTTAATAAATCATAAACAACTTAAGAAATGAGACATTTACTTAAGTAAGATAGAGAATTTAAAAGCACTTACATATTTCATTTACAATTGTATTCAGAGGGATTTTATATGTGTCAGTACTGGGACTTGAACTCAGGGCTTGGCACTATCCCTAAGCTGCTTTTGCTCAAGGTTAGCACTCTACTACTTGAAATACTGCTCCATTTCTGACTTTTGAGTGGTTGTTGGAGATAAGAATCTCACAAACTTTCCTGCCCAGTCTTGCTTCAAATCTTGATCCTCAGATCTCAAATTCCTGAGTAGCTGGTATTAAAGGCATGAGCCCCTGGTGCCTGGCTCCCAATGGGATTTTTTTATTCAGAAGCTAACATAAAAGTGCTCCTGGTTTTGAATGTAACAAGTTTCAGAAAGACTGCTGGTATGTGAGAGCTGTTGAGCCAGAGTAAGGAATGAGGTAAACCAAGTGCTGGTGGCTTATACCTGTAATCCTAGTTACTCAGAGGCTGAGATCTGAGGATTGGAGGTTTGAAGACAGCGGGGCAGGAAATGCCATATTATCTCCAATTCACCACCAGAAAACCAGAAATGGTACTGTGGCTCAAAGTGGTAAAGAGCTAGCTTTGAGCAAAAAAGCTCAAGGACTTTGCCGAGGCCCTGAGATCAAGCCAGCAACCAAAAAAAAGGCAGACCAGTGTCTTCTGAATAGCTCTGCTAACATAGCTTTGGAAACCTGCTTTAAGAATTGAGAATGTTTTCTTTTAGGATGAAACTGACTTTAGTCCTTTAACTAGAAAATTCAAGTACTTTTTTAAAATAGAAAGTATTTCAGAGGTTACTCTAGAATTTCAGTCTTAAAATTAATCAAATTAAGTTCAGTACAACCTAATATGTGTTGTTTTTTTTCTGAGTCACAAGGTGTCAGATCAGAATTTAATAATGAAATTTGCTCTTTCAGACTTACTTCCAAAATAGTTCTGCAAAGAAGTCCTTAATATTTGTTATAGTAATCATCTATGTTGTTTTCAAAATGTGCCTGTAGCAATTCCTTGTGATTCTTACACACATTGCCCTTTCTTCCTGTCCACATATCAGTTTACTTGAAAGAGTTTATTAACTTATTTCAGTAATTTTCTCTTTTAAAATGTTCTATTAATATGTCTTATTAATTGTAAATACTGAAATTCCTCTTGAGTAATATTCAAGTCTAAAAGATTTGGGCTTGCCTAAATGACAAGGAAAGGTTTTTAATGCACTTTGTAATTGGTTAATTTTTTTAGGTTCCTACGAACTTGATGACTTTCGAGTAAAAGCCTAAGAGAAAGTGAAGGTAAACCATTAGGACCTGAGGAAACAGCGCCAGCTGCAAACCATCCTGTGCCAGGCAGAGCCCTGAGCTGCATCAGCCTTTGGAGTTCTGAACCAAAAGAGCACTAATTTCAGGGAATGAAGTGAAATATTCCCAGAGAACAATTTGGAGTTGCAAAAAAAAAAAAAAAAAAACTGCCATAAACCATGCTTCTTAACTCAAACTGACTTGTGGAAACCACTGCCTTAAAAGAATGAAAGGAAAACCAACATGAAACACCAAATAGTGTGTGTGAATCTTCTGGCGGTGCTGTGCTTGGAGTAGATTGTAGCTAAGTTGCATTTCTTTTAATTTTGTAATAATTTTGGAGGGGGAACCACCTTTTTAGATACACTTTAAAAAGGAAAAACATTTCTTAGGGATTATATGAGGAGCTGGTTTTGAACTGCAGCTGACACATTTAATTTAGTAGGGACTATACCAGCAGCCCACCTATAGTGTGTGCATTCTCCTTTGTTTTCGCACTGCAAGAGTATAGAAATGGGAAATGTTAGTAAGTCATGTGAGTTATCAGGGTTTGGTTGGGATAAGGGGCTTGTTTGTTTTGTGTTGAATGAGGGAAGATCTTTTTAAACTGTTAGGGAACATTATTTCCACAGGAGACACAAAAGCTGAGTGTTCATACGCCAGAGTATTTTTAAGTAGGCTCCAGAACACATGGTTGCTTCTAACTAAGGTTAATGCTTAGTTTCATTTATGAAGTCATTGTTCAGCCATAGATCTGCTTAATAGAAAACTATAACCCCAAACTAAAGTTTCCTGAGATCTTAGAATAACTAGAATTTTTTCAAGTTAATCGAATTATCTCTTTTAATCACAGTTTTTTTTTTTAAACATCAAGGGTGATACTGATATTTTGCCAGGATACTTTCTTTTACAGTGTTTATTGTGCATAATGCCAGAGTTATTTTTTTATTCATTTTTGTTCAGTATGAAAGTCAAGACCTATTTGTTTAAAAGATACTTCATATATGTATTTTACCTTAAGACAAAATAATCATAAGGATAAAGGCTGAATTTGAGGTTCTAGGAATTTTAGCCCTTTCCTTCTTATGTAACTCACCATTTTTCTGAAAGCTTACTATAGGTCTCTGACATAAACCTTATTTTTCTGTAATTGACCCAAGCCATTTTGAGAGAGTTAGTCTATGCAATAGTGCATTTTAATTTCTAAAATAAGTATTGACCTTAAGAAGTCTTGAAGGTGAGATACCTTGGGATTTTTTAACAAGAAATAACTCTTGAATAAAGATTCTATGTTGAATGTTACAGATTTGTAAGGCATCATAAATTTTACTAATGGCCCAGAGTAAGAATGTTTTTTGACTAATACCTGCTAATAGACTTGTGTTATTTTCAGTCTCACATGAAATTTGCATACTTTTTTAAAAATTGCAAGTATTTTAGCCTCAAGTCCATTAAACTTAAGTAGAAGATACTGCATATACAATAATTAGCTAAAACTGTGTCCAAAGAAAAACATGAGAACTTTCTGTATTTTTGGTTTAAAGAGTTCAAATATGTTTCTCGTATAACAATTAGAAATACACTGTTTCCAGGTTTTAGTGAGATAGGCTGGAGAGGGTAAATGTTGCCTATGCTGAATGATTTTTCAGTCAGTGATCTAAGCTTAACCCATGTTGGGTACACATAGAAAGACACCATCTGCATAGCCAGCAGTATTACTGTGTAGACCTTGTACATCTTTCTTTTGTTTTACATTTTTAAAAGTTCCTTAATTTGATTATTATTTTTAGAAATAATGTTTTGATAGTATATATGCTTTTTATAAAATATTGTGAATTTAGAACCCTGTGGATTTTTTTGTCATGAATAAGCTAAGGTGTAGATACATTGTAAGTTAACCATATCTATAGAGATAGGTAACTGAAAGTGAGAGGTGACATCACACAGTTTTGCCAAAGAGCAAGCACTAAGATGGAAGATGTGTTTGACATTTTCAAACTATAAACATTAATAGTTGCTTTATAGAGTAAAAATACTGTTCAAATTTGGTTAACCAGTCCATAGATTAAACTAACAGTTTGATAGGAATCTTCATTTTCTCTTGTTAAATTTACTTATTCAAAAGATTAGCTATTACATTCTAAGATTATTTCATCATTTGAAACATTGAAACCAGTGAGAAATGAATTAGTGTATGTGAGGGGTTTTTTTAACTCTATAATTCACAAAATGTAAGTCATCAAATTATATTAAATATTTTCAGTAGCTTACTACTTGAAAGATAAATCTTTTTCTGCCTTAAGCTGAAAATTAGTGACCCAGAAGTTCAAAATTTCCTAGGTAAGAGGAAATTACTCAGAATTTAGTTGTAATTTAAATAGCTAGTTTATGAACATATTGATTAGCATGTCATACGCTGGTGTGGTAAGTGTGCATACAAAATAAACTACGTAATGATCTTCCTAAAGCACTGCTTTGTTTCATACCCCCTCTGTTTTCAGGTTTTATTTTTCAGAATATCTTTCATTATAACCTCAAAGTTACAAGAATTGAATTGATCAAACACATCTTCCTTTTCCATTTTCTTCAGTTTATAAATGCTGCTTAAGCATTACAAAAAGGGATCCAAACAATCTTGAGTGTTTTTTTTTTTTTTTAATTCTCTCTCAGCATGTGCTTCAAGGACAACTTTTTCCTGTGTGAAAAATTCTATACAACTATTGCACAACCTTCTGAATAGAGTGTTGATATTAGGTTTTATGTCCAGAATTGGGGTGCTTATACTTGCAACAGTTTTATAAATGGCTTTTCAATCTTCTAGAAGATTTACAAAAGAGCACAAGAAGCGCTATTACTATAGAAGAAAAAAGACTGGGAGAAATGTTTACAGTCTAGCATATCTATGTTACTTGAAATTCAGCCCTCTGAGATGAGCCAATCTCAGAATTACTAGCATTTACTTTACTAATGACTTTAGCATAAGTGTTATCCCCCTCTAAGGTTAAATCTGTAAGCTATATACATTTATTACTGAAAATAAAATTGATCAGCATCATTCTATTTCGAAATCAATACTAATAGTAGATTTAACCCATTGGCTTTTTAAGACTATAGATTGACTGTTGATACCTTCCTGGTTTTGAGGCATATTCCTTTAAAACTAGTATTTGTTTAAACCACCATGTATCTTACGCCAACAGGGGATATCAGTGTTACTTAATATAAGATAATCTTGAATAAAAAGAAGTCTTTTGCCTCAAATGCTTCTAATTGGATCCCTTTTTGAAAGATAAATACTGACTGTATTTGGTAGAATAGTACTACTGTTGCCCGATACCAAGCAAGTGATGAGGTTTGTTTGGCTTCTTTTAGTGACCTTTTAGGAGTTTGTTTTTTTCTTTTATAAGTTCTTTCAAACTTTTTATGATTTCACAGTTATATATTCTGAGATTTTTTTTCTAAAATTGAGATACAGTTATTAAATCCCACTGGTGACTTAATTTCTTTCCATGTAAACCTTCTCAAAATGATTTAAGTACCTTTAGTTTTCCTCCCCTAAAAAATGGCTTGTGTCTAAAGAGACTCTTTTCTGTTTAGAGGGTTCTAAAGAAAAAGATCTGTGCTTAAAACCCTTCCACTGAAAGCAATTTCCTTTCACCTGCATCTCTAGTTGTAGTCTGGAGAAATTTGATCAGTGCCTTAGCAGTTTGAAGACCAATTTTTAGAGCATTGAGTATGACAGTGATCATTTGCCCCTTTACCTCAGGAGTATGCTGACTCTCTCTCTGCCAGCAAGTCTAAGGTAGTCTGTACTGATATCTCTGGGTATTTGTGGCTGTCGCCCTTGGTTCTTGAGGTCTTTTTCAAATAAACACTCTCCCTGTGCTCTTTTCTTTCTGGACAAGAGATATAAAGTAAATCCACTCAAATCAACCATTAGATAAGCACTCTGAAAAAATAACTTTGAAGAGCATTCATTCATCTCAGTTCATTTTTATTTTGTTATAGTTGTAATGAAAAAGCCCTTTACAAAATCCCTAGAAGAGTAGAATTTGTTGGAGCTTATTTTATTAGAGCTACTGAAATCTTGGAATGATGCCCTTTGGTGGCCAAAAATGAAATTTAGTTTGTTCTTATGGATAAGGTATCACTTAACTTACCAGTTACTGTTTACTTGAAAATAACTATGGCAAGAAAGTGATAAAGCCTGTAAGTATATAAAAGACTAAACTATCTTTCTTGATAGAAGCAAAGTTTGGGAATATTGCTTCTCTAAAAGTATTAGAAGCTTCTGTTATTTGTTTGAGTTAGGATGCTATGTTCACATTCTTTATAAAGGTCATGTGTTCCACTGTAGACAGGTAGACATAAATGGTGTTGAAGCTCAAATGATAGGGTTAAGTAGTCCTTGAGGCTTATTAGCAGAATTTAAATCTTGATTCTAGTTATTCAGACTGCAAAGCAGTGGTGGGGTTATGAGAATACAGAGCGTGTGCTTTGGAATGGAACTTTTGATTTCTTAATAGAAAAATGAAGAAATCACAAATAGGAACTGTTTTGCATAAAAGGTAACAAATATTGTTTCCTCCAAAAAAGCCACCTACTAGAACTGCTCACAAAATAGTCCTGTAATTATTAATATAATAGATAAAATAGCTGGTAAGTCACTAAACTCTCAAAGTGTTTGAACACCTTAATTGTTGACATTTGTTGTTTATCAGCCTACCAAAGTATCTTGCAAGGGAAAGGGAATCTGGTTCACAATATAATCTAAAGGAGAGCAAAACCAGTAGGGATAAAGTACCCAATGTGTTTTACTAAAACACAAGCCATTTTTATTCTTTATCGCAGTTAACTTGAGGTACTCTAATGATGAAGCACTCAATTGCACTATGACCTCCTGGAGTGATGTGCAACTTGGTTCCTCTCTTTTCCTTTTAATATGAAAATGTGAATGTGTGATCTTCAGTGTGTTTGCATAAGCTAACTTTAAATGAATCTAAGAAGTTTTCTGAAAAAAATATTTCTAATCTATTGAAATAAATCACTTAAAATTATAGATTGTGTGAAGATGTTTTGTTACCATAATTAACTTTTTGTGTGTGTCAGTCCAGGGGCTCAAACTCAAGACCTGGGTGCTATCCCTGAGCTTTCCTTCCCCATCCCACCCCCGTCAAGGTTAGTACTCTATCACTTGAGCAACAGCTCCACTACTGGCTTTTGGGTGGTTAGAGATAATGTTTCAAAGACTTCCCTGCTAAATCTGGCTTCATCAGATTTTAGCCACCTTTAGTTAGCTAAGTTAGTATTACAGGCATGAGCCACCTGTACCAGGCTAATTTATCATTAATTTTTAAAGTGCAAACCAATTTTAAATTGATTATTATTTTCCCTCTCAAAAGTAGTCAAGAAGGATTGATTGCTGGTACGGGATCTGTCTGAGTAAATTTTATTCTTATGAAACCCATGGTGAGAATGTGCCTTGTCACATGGTACATTAATAGTCTAGGCCTAGTTACTCAGAAGGCTGAGATGTAGAGGACCACAGTTTGAAGTCAATCTGGGCAGAAAATTAAGTCAGACTTCATTTCCAAAATAACCAGGTTGTGCTGATGCCATGGACTTAAGTGGTAGATTGTCAGCCAAGCAAATTTGAGGTCCTGAGTTAAACTCCAATACCACAAATCAAAACAAAAAAAAAAAAGAAAAAATTTTAGTTAATAGATTTTGTTGGAATTAAGTCACAAGAACAATAGTTTCTTCCAATGTTTAATCTTACCTATTTTTCTTGTCTTAATTTGTCTGGGATTCCAGAGCAATACTAGGTTAAATGCAACTATATATAGTATGTCAAAGAATTTACTCATTCTCAAAAGAGTGTGTGTATAAGAGGAATTTTCTGCCTTTGATTTAAACCCCAGTTTCTTTTTGTGGGAGCATGTTTACACTTTTAGGCAGAAAATGAGTGGTCATTTACACCCAGCTACCACTGGTCATCAAATGCCAATAGTAATTATAATACTCAGCCACAGAATGTGCAAAAATCTAAAGTGCCAGCAAGTAATTAAATTTCTTTCTGAATGCCACTTGTTCGTAATTTGTCAGTGTCTAGAGATACCTGGTTGTCATAACTGAGAGAAGGTTCCTCTAGAGGCAAGGGATGCTGATGGGCATCCTGCAGTAGGATTACTGAAATGTCAGTAGCACCAGGACTCAGACTCTGCCTTGTGTAATTGAGTTACATCCCATAACTTCACTATGTTGATCTTGACTCTAGGAAAGCGTTTATGTTTGAACTCTTCCTTTCCAGAAACATTCAAGTAATACAAAAAATCTACAGAGTGAAAGTTGGATGTCCACCTGCCCAACTCCCCACTCTGTATTTAATAAACCACTGTCTTTGTTCTGTAACCCTAGCTGAAATTCTTTCTGCCTCAGGCTCTAGAGGCTTTTTGATTTTCTACCTCTCTAAAGACAACTTAAGACTATCACATATATTCTAGTCACAAAAGTATTAAAGCAACAGTAAGTCATTTCAGATGTCAAAATTATTTAGCTAACATACAAGATAAGCTATATGAGATTGTTAGTATTTAACCACGTTGGCCTATAAAATGGCAATTTCATATAGTACACCCTAGTATTTTCCTGAAAGATGAAAATAAGTCACATCGCTATTCTTAACATTTTTAAAAATCAGTTGCATGTGTAATTCTACTCAGGAGGCTGAAATACAGAAGATGGTACAAAGCCAATCTGGGCAGAAAAGTTTGAGAGATTTCTTCAAACCCACAAGAAGCAAGGCGAAGCACCATCTAAGCAAGCACCAGGTCCTGAATTCAAACCTCAAAACCTAGGGGCTGAGGAGGGAATTTTGGACACATTTACTGTAATAAACACAATGCCTCCAAATTTGAGGAAGAGAAACATCATGTTTTCATCTTTATTTGGACTTAACTACTAAAAGCTGAAAATTAGCTGTTTCATCCTTTAGTTCTAATTTTAAATATTTGGTTTTTCTCACTTTCCTTGCCTTCTCTCATTTCTCTTTGATTCGTTGGCTTTGAATATATCTACCAAAGTGGTATATATTCTCCAGTGCTTATGTTTTCATTCCCTGAGTTAGAACATCAAAATCAACCCAGCCATGGAAAATGATTCTGGGAGTGTAATTGTGTGTATGGATTTACCCATGTTTCATTCTTGTGCCCTCAGCAACTGGAAGAACGTATACCATCCAGTAAGTGTTAAATGCTAAAAAGCTTACATGAGGCACAGGATCCCACCAGACTCCAGTGATTTCTGTGACTATAGAAGAATTTTACAGCTGGGCACTGGGGGTTCACACCTGCTAGCTACTCATGGTTCAAAGCCATCCCAGTCTGTGAGACTTATCTCCAATTAAAGCACAGAAAAAGCTGTGACCCTGTAGCTCAAGTGGTGGAGTGCTACTCTTGAGCAAAAGGAGCTCAGGGAAAGCACCCAGGCCCAGAGTTCAAGCCACAGGACCAACCAAAAAACAAAAAAGGAAAAGAAAGAAAAAAGAAAGCAAATGCCTTTATAGGTGGATTCACCTTCCTAGTCAAAAGGCAGTGGGTAAACACATGATTAAATAAGACTTCATACCAGCAAGTCATAAACACATAATTAAGCAACACTTCATACCAGAAAGACAAATAGGCTGGAAATGGAACAATAAGAATTTTCATACGAATAGTAACCGAAAGAGTTTTATGTTACTGTCAGTCAAATCCTTTAAATCAAAAAAATTACAAGACATTAAAGCGATATGTGAAAAGATGGGTCAAGTGATAAAGTACCATTAAGTGGCCTGTAATCCTTGCTACTTGAAGGATGAGAGGGAGGATTGAAATCCAAGGCTAACCTGGGCAGAAAGATTCACGAGACCCCTTGTCAACTAAGTGTGGATATGGTGGCATGTGCCTGTTATCCTAGCTTCTGTATGAAACATAAAATAGGCAGATCATGGCCTAGGCTGGGAGCAAGGCCTTACTAAAAAAAAAAAAAAAAGTGCTGGAGGCAGGCGTGGCTCAGCAGTAGAATATCCACCTAGCAAGCCATGAGGTATTAAATTCAAACTCCAGTACTACAAGAGGTGGGAGGAAGGGGGCACTGTGCAGAAAAGGTTTGGTATAGTAAGATTAGAAAAACATGTGCCTTACAACCAAATATATTTTGAAATATATAATGGAAGATAGTACAGAATTCTAGGTGGAACATAGATTGATCTATGTCCAATACTTATCTACTTCCTGTAATGGGCAGAATAAACAGAAGATAAATTAATTTGATATAATAAAATTTTACCCAACAACAACATACACATTTTAGGTGTGCAAGGGACATTTTTCCAGAATGAATCATACATGTATTAAGCTACAAATAGAAAAGCTTAAATGAGGCACAGAATCCATATTTAATAAACCACTCAGATCTCAGCCTCCTGAGTAGGCTAGGATTACAAGCATGAGGCACCAGTGCCCAGCCTGAGATCCTGGTATGAAGACAGCTCAGGCAGGAAAGAGTGAAGCTTTTATCTCCACTGTACCACCGAAAAAGCCGCCTTGAGCATAAGCAGCTCGGGTAGCACCCAAGGCCTGAGTTCAAGCTCTAAGACTGGCATTTTTAAAAAGTCAAAAGTCATATTTCTAAGTACTAGCAATTTCAAAAGCAAATAATTTAACTTACAAAAGTACCAAAAATAATAAGAGCTGAGGGGAAAGCTAAAAGCTATTATTGCTGAAAAGAAAGACAAATAAATGGGAACTGCTGAGTGTTCATGAGTTGGAACTATCCAAAGCCATCAACAGATTTAGTGCAATCCCTACCAAAATTACAAATTTGTTTCACAAAAATAGGAAACCCTTCCTAAAATTTGTATAGAATCTCAAGAGACCCACTCACAAATAGCCAAAGCAATCTTGGAAAAGAGATCAAAACATCTTGACACTAACTATACTGTAATCAAAGCTTTATTATACTAGCATAAAGACAAACCTAAACCAATAGAACAGAACAGAAAGCTTAGAGATAAGTCCACAGTGATGGCGAAATGTTTTGTTTCTGCCAATACCAGAAATTGAACTCAAGGCCTTATACTCATTCAGCTTGCCTGCTCACCTGGTGATATTCTGCATCACCAATCATTCCAGAGTTGAAGACTTAAAGCCGGGCACTGGTGGCTCACACCTGTAATCCTAGCTACTCAGGAGGCTGAGATCTGAGGATTGCCATTCAAAGCCAGCCCGGGCAGGAGAGACCATGAGACTCCTATCTCCAATAAACCACCAGAAAACTGGAAGTGGTGCTGTAGCTCAAGTGGTAGAGCGCTCGCCTTGAGCTGGAGAGCTGAGGGACCACGCCCAGGCCCAGAGTTCAAGCCCCACGACCAACCAAAAAAAAAAAAAGACTTCAAACCAGATACTACATCACTTTCATTAAGGTGACTTCTAAAAAATAGTGAACGTTGATGAGAATATGAGAAATTTGGGGAACTTTTGTATACTGTTGGTAGAAACGGGGAATGAAAAATGGTAGCTATGTATGTAAAATTTTACATCCTGGTAAAACAGTATGGCAGTTACTCTAAAAACTGCCACATAATCTAGCAGTTCTAAGTTTTTATACCCAAAAGAATTGAAAATAAGGTCATAAGGAACTATTGGTATATCCAGCTTCAAACAATGTGCTTAGGAAATCTGAAGAGAAGCTAAGTGAATGAGTTGGTGAAGTGTGGTGTATACCTATGATGGATATTAACTAGGTCTGAGGAAGAAAAGGCTGGTAAATGCCACAACATGGATAAACCTTGAGGATGTTGTGCCAAGGAAATCCAGTCCAAGTTCAGTATTCTGCTTTCTAAGGGACTTAAGTAGTCAGTAAAACAGTGATTGCCAGGAGCTAGAGGAGAGGGAACTGGGGAATCACTGTTTAATAAGCATAGAATCTCAGCTTAATAAGATGAGAGGAGTTAGAGAAACGGATAGTGGGGCTGATTACACAGCACAATAAATGTTTAAAACCACGGAGCTTTACA